ATAAAATATAATATTATAATATATATATAATAATAATATAATAAATATATATAATAATAATTATATTATTATTATTAATATATTATAATAATATAATATAATATATAATTAATATATATAATAGAATAATATATTATATTTATATTATATAATATATGTATACTTAATTATTATTATTAAATATTAATTATCACCCCCTATGTGTAAACATAAATGAATTATAAATTATAAATAATAATTAATAAAATTATTATTATTATTATATATATATATAATATAATATATAATTAATATTAATATAATTATATAATATATATATGATACATTATTATTATTAAAATTATTATTTATCATATAAATCTGTTATACTCTCTCTCTTTTAAAAAGCCAGGCGACTTTTCCTCCAGCCGGACGTATAATTTCGACACGTTTCGCCGTTCGATTCCCGATCCATTCCCGCGATAACACAATATCCGCAATTATCTCTCGTTCTCGCATAGACATAAGATCTAATGGACGGACAAAGTAAGAGGACGCGCGAATAAAGAGCGAACGGGCGGCTCTTATTAGGATAGCGTAATTGAGTATAAAGCGACTGATAGGCTGATTGGCGCAAAGTGCTAGAAAGTATGGCAGCGTGGAACAGGGGGCCGGGGAGAAAGAGGGACGGGTAGGGGCTGTGTGTGTGAGAGAGAGGGAGAGACGCGGCGAGGGTAGAACGGAGTGACAGAGATATCGCTTCTGCGCAATCAGGGCGCACTTGAAATAGAGAAATTGAGAGAGCGCGACGGGGCGAAGACGCGACGACTTTCGTAAACGAATTTAAAGCGCCCCAACGGGGTAGGGGTGAGGCACCACTTTCTTTCCTCGGTGCTCCGATACTTGGAATATCTCCCGCGGTCCGTTTCTCCCCCTCGAAAGTTGAACCGCGTCGCACGTCGATCGGTGTCCGGGCTGTTTGCGGCTCGATTACCCGTGTGCTCTCTGTTCAGGAGTCGCCGTCGCTGTCCCCGGACAGCCACCTGCCCTCGTACCAGAACAGCTTGATCGAGCAGCTGATCCGGCAGCAGCAACAGCAGACGGACGAGCGGACCAAAGAGACGGAGGAGAACTCGTCGACGTTGAAAGCGCCTCCGCCGATACCCTCTCACACGCCTCAACAGCAGCAGCAACAGCAACAACAGCACCACCAACAGCAGCAGCAGCAACAACTTCAGGCGAGCAGCGTGTTCTCGACGACGACGTCCTCGTCGACGTGTTCGTCGCAGACCTCGCAGAAGTCGGGGCGCAACGCGTCGTCGCCGGCGCATCTGTCCGAGGACCGGAAGCAGTGGATGCAGGAGACGATGAAGGACTGCGCGAAGAAGATGGAGGGTATGTGCGTGCGGGGGCAGCAATCGGCGCCGGTCAAGCTGACCGAGGCGTACTCGAGCCACGTGTGGAGCGAGACGGAGCACATCTACGAGACCATACCGGAGTCGGACAGCGAGCCGATCTACTCGTCGCCGTACGAGCACCAGCACTGGACGCAGAACAATCACGGGACGGCGACCACGTCGACGACCACGGCCACCACGACCACCCAGCAAAACCAGGGAAATCAGACCAGGTGGCANATATATATATATACATAAATAAAATATAATATTATAATATATATATAATAATAATATAATAAATATATATAATAATAATTATATTATTATTATTAATATATTATAATAATATAATATAATATATAATTAATATATATAATAGAATAATATATTATATTTATATTATATAATATATGTATACTTAATTATTATTATTAAATATTAATTATCACCCCCTATGTGTAAACATAAATGAATTATAAATTATAAATAATAATTAATAAAATTATTATTATTATTATATATATATATAATATAATATATAATTAATATTAATATAATTATATAATATATATATGATACATTATTATTATTAAAATTATTATTTATCATATAAATCTGTTATACTCTCTCTCTTTTAAAAAGCCAGGCGACTTTTCCTCCAGCCGGACGTATAATTTCGACACGTTTCGCCGTTCGATTCCCGATCCATTCCCGCGATAACACAATATCCGCAATTATCTCTCGTTCTCGCATAGACATAAGATCTAATGGACGGACAAAGTAAGAGGACGCGCGAATAAAGAGCGAACGGGCGGCTCTTATTAGGATAGCGTAATTGAGTATAAAGCGACTGATAGGCTGATTGGCGCAAAGTGCTAGAAAGTATGGCAGCGTGGAACAGGGGGCCGGGGAGAAAGAGGGACGGGTAGGGGCTGTGTGTGTGAGAGAGAGGGAGAGACGCGGCGAGGGTAGAACGGAGTGACAGAGATATCGCTTCTGCGCAATCAGGGCGCACTTGAAATAGAGAAATTGAGAGAGCGCGACGGGGCGAAGACGCGACGACTTTCGTAAACGAATTTAAAGCGCCCCAACGGGGTAGGGGTGAGGCACCACTTTCTTTCCTCGGTGCTCCGATACTTGGAATATCTCCCGCGGTCCGTTTCTCCCCCTCGAAAGTTGAACCGCGTCGCACGTCGATCGGTGTCCGGGCTGTTTGCGGCTCGATTACCCGTGTGCTCTCTGTTCAGGAGTCGCCGTCGCTGTCCCCGGACAGCCACCTGCCCTCGTACCAGAACAGCTTGATCGAGCAGCTGATCCGGCAGCAGCAACAGCAGACGGACGAGCGGACCAAAGAGACGGAGGAGAACTCGTCGACGTTGAAAGCGCCTCCGCCGATACCCTCTCACACGCCTCAACAGCAGCAGCAACAGCAACAACAGCACCACCAACAGCAGCAGCAGCAACAACTTCAGGCGAGCAGCGTGTTCTCGACGACGACGTCCTCGTCGACGTGTTCGTCGCAGACCTCGCAGAAGTCGGGGCGCAACGCGTCGTCGCCGGCGCATCTGTCCGAGGACCGGAAGCAGTGGATGCAGGAGACGATGAAGGACTGCGCGAAGAAGATGGAGGGTATGTGCGTGCGGGGGCAGCAATCGGCGCCGGTCAAGCTGACCGAGGCGTACTCGAGCCACGTGTGGAGCGAGACGGAGCACATCTACGAGACCATACCGGAGTCGGACAGCGAGCCGATCTACTCGTCGCCGTACGAGCACCAGCACTGGACGCAGAACAATCACGGGACGGCGACCACGTCGACGACCACGGCCACCACGACCACCCAGCAAAACCAGGGAAATCAGACCAGGTGGCATTCCTCCTCGAAGAGCAACAGCTCCGGCGAGGAGAAGGACAGCTCCAGCGCCTACAACACCGGCGAGTCCTGCAACAGCAACCCTCTCACCCTGGAGCTGCACCAGGCCGAGAGGGACCACCACAGAAGCACGCTGGTCCTCTGCCCGCCGAAGACCCCCACCGCCGTGCAGCAGCAACAGCAGCAGCAACAATTTCAGCAGCAGCAACAGCAACAGCAGCAGAGACTCGGCTGCACCTGTCCCGCGTCCAGCAACAAGCAGACCATCGGCAAGAGTCAGCCGAGCAGACGCGGCTCCAGCTCGGCCCACCATCACAAGGACAGAGCCGACCCCGCGGTCGCGACCCTGCCGGCCGACACCATGTACACCAACATGGCGAACCTCCAGCAGACCATGCTCCTCCAACAGCAGTTGTTCAAGCAGGCCCTGAACCGACGGAACATCACCACCGCGGCCAGCCCCAGAGAGACCACCGCAACCGCGAAAAAGTCCAAGTCCCACGGCAACTTCCAGGCTCCGAATCTGACCCGGTACCAGTTCGTGGGCAGCCAGCAGGTCTGCACCTCGACCAGCTGGGTCCCGCCGGAGGACAAGGGCAGCAACGACGTTCAGATGGAGTGGAAGGTGAAGAGGAGGGCCGACGGGAGCAGGTACATCGCCAGGAGGCCGGTTAGAAATCGCATATTGAGGAACAGGGCGATCAAGATATCGGAGGAGCGGGCCGGGCACAGCACGGAAGACGACACCATGTCCGAGATAAAGGTAATCGTCTCCGGTTCCCGTTCTTGGTAACGCTTGTCGCGGTCCGTTATCGTCTTACGACTTCTGGACGTTTTAAAACGTTCTAATCTCGACTCGGATGTGTGTATTATTCTTGGAAATGTGGGTCGCGATCATTCGTGCAATCGCTTGGTTCGCAGGTGGGCAGGTACTGGACGAAGGAGGAGCGCAAGAGGCAGCTGGAGCGTGCCCGCGAACGGAAACAACGGCAGCAGGAGCTGATGCTGCAGCAGCAACAGCAACAGCAGCTCCAGTTGCAGCAGACCAACGAGCTGCTGAACAGCGAACACCCGGACGAGAAGACGAAAAAGCCGCTGAACATCTTGGAGCTCAGTCACAAGAAGATGGCCCGCAAGAAGAATACGTTGGACGACTTCACCACCGTGCAGGAAATGCTGGTGCATGGGAACAGAGTGGGAGGAGCGGGTGGGCCGGGTGCCGGTGGGAAGCTGATGGGTCTTCTATCGGTCACCACGGTCTGAACGGAAGGCTGAAAAGACCCGATCCGAATCTTGACGGCTCGATACAGTTTCTTCGGTCTTCTAGCGTCTATCTCGCGCGTTCAATTTGCGTAAAATTAAGAGCGAGTTCTTCTGCGTTTCGAGTGACAGTTACTTTCTCTCCGAAGTTTTTATGCTCAACGTTGCCTCGAGTAAGCGGCGGAACGAGCTCGAGAAACGATCCGGAATGATCGTTGAAACGACCATTCGCTCCGGTCGGTTGTAAATAGTTATTATACAATGACATGTATACATATGAATGTATGTAGATTATTTTACACGAACCGAATCCTTTTCTCTGTGAATCGACGAATAGAAACGAGAATACGCCTCTGTAGATATGTACAATAAATGTAACGATGTATAATCTCTGTGTAAATACTTCAGACTGTCGGCCGGGAAAGAAGGAACGATCCTGGTTGAGGATGAAACGCTCTGATCGCAGCAACGAACCGAAGGGATCGTCTGCCAGAATATCGTTCGCGCGTAGAAGACAGTCGTACAAAAGGCTTGCATGTTTTTATTACGAAATTCAAAAATCTGATGACCGATATATCTATTTATCCATTACATAAACGATGCGTTGATATTTAAACTGCTCAGCACTTTCCGCTCCGGAATGTTCAGGTGCTGAACGTAAGCGGGGAAACAATGATGCGTCGAAAAGTTCAACAGAAAGTCACGCATGTATTGACCAAGATTCAAATGGTAGATCGAGTCTTCCAGCAACTCCGGATCCTCTTCGCCTTCCTCCGCATCGTTCGCAGCTTCGTCCAACACTGGGAACACATTTCGATTCCTGAATACCGCGAACCGAGATTATCGTTGAAAATGATCGCGGAGCAAACTGTGTACTTACATAACATGGTCTCGTAGCCGGGATCTAGGAAAGTATTGTTGTCTTCACCCTCTTCGTCGTCATCGGATTCCTGCGCGTCAACATACACACGTACACTCATTTATCTACTAAGGATTTTCACTTGCTAGTTGTTGTCAAATAAATATGAGATTGTTACTAACGTCCGACTCCTGATTCGCGGCGACCGCTTCCATATCGTTCGACAGCTCATTGATGATCAGCTTGAAGATCTTGGCCAGCACCGGTATCGTGGTCCACTGATAAGGCTGCGATTCCGCTTTGCTCCTAGTCCTCACACCCTCCTCGTTCCCTGTAAACGGTAACGAATGTTAATTAACCCGCTTAACGCCATGTGCGCACAGTAAACTTCCGTTTGACAAACCTGAAAATATTTGATCACCCTTGACGGTGATCTCATTCAACCGACTGTCGTCGTGAGTGACACCGAACTCGAGTATCTTGCATAGCGCGACCGTGGCCACTTTCCGTTCGTATCTGCCGAAGAACAAATGCTGCCTGCCGACCCACTCGGTGAGCACAAACGCGAGAGCGCTCTGTCCTGTAGGGCCCGGCACGATGGACAGAAAGTTTAGGACGGCGTCGAATTCCGTGTTTATCAGATGGGCGTATATCATGAGCAAACTCTGTACCACGGTCAAGGTCTCCGCCCGTTGCATCTTGCTCAACACAGCTTTCAGCAACAAGTCGAGATTCTCGCCTAGCGTGTCGCCTGCCTTCCTGATTAACGTCGTTACCAGCCGACCGACGAAAATGGCAGTGAACTCACTCGACTGAAACATACGCCAAGCTGGCTACATTCTTTCGAGAAAGTCTGCTATTTCACTATCAAGCATCAGCCATCTTGCATTCTTTATACGTTATCAGTGATCGAGCATGTGCGGCAAGCAGAGGTCCACCAAGCATTAAAATCTATGAATAAATGTCAGGTTAGGTCTGGGTTAAATCATGAAATATTCTTTCCTAATACTCGATAGACCTATACTTTATATCACATGTGAACACACCGAGCATACGAGCAATACGAGATGCAATTAGCCTATTTAATGCAGTATTTCCTTCGTAATGTCTCTCGTTAAGGCAACAAAATCTTCAAGATCCGCAAGATAGCTAGCAACGAGGATTGGTTACCAAATGTGACGTTACGGAGGAAATATTATGATAAACTCTAGAAAGAGAAAGCCACCTGTGGATTCAGTAGTTGAGCAATTATCTGCAATATATACTGCAAGCCAGTTTGGCCATCGTTGTCGCGGTGCGCCGTGACTTGTCGCGCTGCGACGGATAAGTAGGTGCGTATCACTTCGCCCCCGTTTTGCAAGGTCTCGTTGTCTTGTGAATTTAGGATACATTGGCACGCGGCAGGGAAAGCAGTCTCGACCAGCGTACTGCTTAAAGGTATTGGAGAGTACTGCACCAAAACTTGCAGTACGTCCAAAGCTACTTCTCGACACCTCTCTGAAAGTTAGCGGGGAGAAGGATATTTGTCATCATTATTTCTAATGCACAGCTCAATCGCGATTAGTCGAGATTTCGCTGCAGCTTACCGTCTTTGGACTTGTCCATGGACGTCACAGCCATCATGCTTGTCAGAGTAGGTACCAAACGGGTCTGCAACGGTCCTATACAATCCGGGTTTTGCGTGAGACTCTTGAATATATCTTGGCACAGCTCAAAGATTATTGGATCGCTGTAGAATTTCAAAAATATGGCGATGGTCAGTGGACAGACTTTATTTTCCACCGAAGCGGTGAACGCTTCATCCATCTGTGAAAGGGTGTACGTTAGTTTTCAGAACCGTGGCATTTGGAGATAACACAATATGTAAAATATTATTACCGATATCAAGACTTGTAACGTTTCCATAACCAAAGTTAAAACCTCTGTGGAGGGTTGAGTGGCTAAATTGAAGAGTCCCTGGAATATTTCTGGCAAATGAGATCGTATATTGTTGACCATGTCTATGCTAGTTTCCGTGTTCGATGCTTCGCAGAACCAATAGATAGCTTTCACAGCACTGATTCTAATACAGGCTGGTTGATTCTCTTGCAAACCATTAACAGTTGCTTCCAGAAACTGAGAGTTTAACGGTGATGGTATTATTTCGGCATACTTGCCGCCGACGCATAAACAGCGACCAAGAAGTAACGGCGGAGCACCTAATGGTTACCATACGTGAAAGTAACATTTGCTAGCTAAAGAAAAAAAAGAAAGCGAAAGCTTAGTATACCTGAATCGTTCAAAGTAGCTAACACAACTGTTGCTAAGAATTGAATAATATCGAATTGAAGCATCCCGGAGGCATACTTCTCCACTACGGCGGGTTTGACTTTGCTTAAAGCCAATATTGAAGATTCGCGCAACTTCCACCAGGACTCGTTGTTCTCGCCACAACCGTTAGCGTTTTGCAAGGCATTGGTTGCTTCGATGTGCCGTGTGATCACTTTGCACAAGGCGTTAATTGCCTTATCCGCGGAATAATTGACGAGAGCCTGTTTTGAAAAATTGTGATGAGATGCGGGTCAATTATCTGAAACGAAGTTTTAACGTTTCTCGAAGTAACTCACTGTCAGAAGCTCTTGAGCGGAAATCCGAACATTATAGGCGAACACATCCTCATCCTCTACAAACTGATTCGGACTCGTCGACCATAATTCGATCTGATCTTCAGTTATCTGCATGAAGATGATCAGATAGTACATAACGTCCTCTAATAAATTATCTAAAAGGTTCGAGAATCGCTTGCGGTCCACAATGGAATTAACGAACTCGAATATCGCTATGATTAAGTTATTGAAGTTAATTATCACGCCTGTAAAAAGAGAGAAGTATTTAAAACAAATCGAAACTCTGTAAGACAAAATTAGAGCGAAGATTTTAACAGATTTACCATCGGAGTCAACCTCTTTATCGTGCTCGTCTCCGTCTCCGTTCACAGTTCCTTCTTGATAAAATTTTGCGCTTTGAGTTAATGTTTTCCAAATGGGCGGCAGCATTTGTGGCAAAAAGCTTGTCACGTACTTAGGTAATCTAGTTACAAGGCAATTTATAGCTTTAATAACATCAGTTTTCAGCCCGCTATCGCTGGTTGGGCCATCAGGCACTTGTAAGCTTTGAACAAACTTCTCACAAAACATGGGAATGATCGGTTGCAGATATTGTTCTGTGAATCCCTTTTGATACAGTTCTGTGGCAGCTACTAATGTCGTGATCGTGGTGAATATTTCGACCGCACGTCCACGGGTTCTAATGGAATATTGCTAAAAATTGAATAAATATTATTAAAATGACAACATCAAGAATGGTGAGAAGAACATACATTTTCACTTTGAAATATCCTATACATTTCTTGAAGTATAACTGGTCCCACATTAGGTAACTGGGTATCAGTAAGATCTGAAGTAAATTCGGTTAAAACTCTCATTGCTCCATGCACAGCATATTCGCTTTCTCCGCTTAAACAACTGACAAGTATATCAAATAAACCTGGCCAATTTTCTGGCCAATCCCAGTGAGCAATGGCCGAAATCGCATATGCCACTGCTGTACGCACCTGAACAAAATATATGTAATACATATCGCTGTTAAATATATTACATATAATTGTAGATAATATCTACTCACTTTACTAATAGATTCTCTAAGTCCTAACGGCAACAATTCTTTGATTCTCTCTTTTGTTGCAAGATTTATTTCTGGTGGTCGAAATTTTTCAGCCACGGAACACCAATGAGTTTCCACATATTGTTTCAACAATACAGATGCTAGCTGCCTAATAGGTAAAAGTCCAGCAGGACTCACTACAAATTCTGTTAAATGAATGCCAAATTCTTCCGTGACTTCCAAAGCTTGAATTCTCTGCTCCGCAGCTTGACGCATGTCCCGATCAGGCGACAGGATACCAGTCAATGTTTCGTACAAGGCCTCCCTCAAAGAGCCTTGTACATCAGATCCCATTGTACTCATTGCAACGATTTCCTATCTTTTTACTTCGCACCTGTTACCATTCGAACGTTCGATTAAACGACTGGTCCACACCATCAACGATCTGATAACAATGTGAATCTATATTTACCTGTACACATATCTCTGTTGAGTATTTATTGTGATGCTACCGAACCACTTCTGTATTCAAGACTCTTACATTACAGTGGCTTGATCTCCTAAATTACGTTCTCTGTAATCACAATAATTAAATCAGAGATCGAAATCGGAGCACGTTGCGATAAAAAATGGTTAAGTACCAAGGCACTTTAGAGGTTACATACCAAATTTAAATTATTGGAAGCATTAATTATAGTAAAATAATCGCGATAATTACCATTAAAATGTATTTACTCCGTACAGTATAAAATCAAGAATGAGGTGAAATAAACGTGCGATTTGTGCTGTTCGTTGAACGTTATAATTCGATAAAGCCGGTTTGATAAAAAGACGAAGAAGGTTAAGGTGACACATATGAACCTGGAAATTCTTCTTTACAATATTACTATTTGTATGCGTGCAATAAGAACGTGCTTCAACTCCTACATTTTCAATTAAGGCGCAACAGTTTCCTAAATTATATAAAACTTATCGCAAATCATGAGTTGAAGTTACATTACACCGTACGTACCAAAGGCGCAAAGTATCCGTACATTTGAATCATCTAAAGTTCAGTGACGTTGAGCGACGTGTTACGAAAAAATAAACGTACACATAGTGACTTTTCTTTCAACTTTCATGTGCACAACTACAAACTATAACAAGCTTCTGCAACTGTTTTACAACTAAAAATCAGGTTGCTTTATGAATAATGCGACGTGATATTGTAGGCTGATGCAGTTAATAAAATTCTAGTAATTTTTATGCACACATGTATACATTGCACGCAAATCACGTAGAATACACATAAGCTATACAGTGCAGTTCCGATTATCCGGCACAAAATTGCGATCCGGCGGTGGCCGAATTGTTCAATCCTATTTTGTTCGAATGTACGTAGTAACCGTTGTTCTATTCCCTTTCTAATTAGTTTTGATATTCAGAACATCTCGAATAATCGAAACGCAACTGTATTCGAATCTCTTTTATCGGGCAGATTTAACGATTAACGAATCGAGATTCTCCTGTGTATCCATGTCATGCAAAAAAGTGTATTTATTACTGCAAATATATACAACAGACGATGATTCTCACCAATATTGCAATAAGGTTGTAATATCAAATTCGGCAAGAATCAGTTGCTGTTTTGCTGACAATAACGCCTCTTGTGGCGAAATCTGGAAGCTCCCGTACGGTTTCGTACAGCGCCGATCAGTAGGTGGCAAATGGCGGAAACTGCTAGCCAAACAGTGGCGCCGCTTGCGGCGAAATCTAGAAGCTCTCTCAGGAGTTTCTACAGCGCCGATTAGCGAACGACCGAACGCCGAAAGCGTCGGCAATTTTGTCCAGCAGCTTCAGCGTTTCGCCGCTACGCGCAGTGGCGCTGTGCGGACTCGTGCCGAGAGCTTCGAGATTTCGACGGAATTCAAAAACGAGTAAAATATAAAATAATATTTCAATACTCTTCATACATACTTCAGACATACTTCAACATCCGAGAGACTCGAACGTATCTCACGGTATACATCTGCAAGTCTGTCGACAAATTCCGATTCGCGTAAGTTAATAATCCTTGACGACAGTTGAAAAACGATCGAATTTGTCCTAACAGCATAACCGAACGACGAAACAGCCGCGAACGTTTCGTGTCCCGCAACGCCAAAACTGCAGACCCTGTTTGAACATTATCTTAGCTGTGCGATATAATTTGCTTCGTGAAAGAGCAAACAGAACTCGAACCGCGCGATAACTTAACAGTATCGAGGGGCTCGATCTCCGGAGAGTTTACCGCATCTCTGTGCACGGATAAATGTTCCCGTATTAAACTAAAGCCGGCGCGGTAAATATGTCAAGGTGTCTTATCGATAACTCGCATTTCCAGATTAAAATCAGGCGCCCTGTATGCGCGCCGATGTTTTCCACGGAATCGCGCAAACGCGCAGCCCTCGGCGGGGCGCCAGCGCCGTTCCCGTTTCCGCACTTTCATCTCCCCCCTGGACAGGAAGAGCTTTCAGTGTTACGAACGCTCCCGAAGCGCGCCGTTCCCAGCCGTACTCGCGCGCCGACTCTCCTCGGTTACTTCCCGCCGAAAACGTTTCCTCCACCTTTCCTTCTCTCCTTTCTCCGATCTACGAAAATGCCGTTCGACCCCGCGACGAACGGAACGGCGCGTTTCACCGCGAGACCCGTCGCGTCCCCCGAATTTCCGCACGTCCGTCGCTCCCCGCGCGAGACGGATTAATCTCCGGGCACATATGGTAATCCGCGAATCTCGCGGGAGATGGAGAACGGGGAACAAAGCTCACCGGTCGAGGAACGCTGCTGGGATCGCCGATAAGTTCGTCTCGGCGAGAGAACCGGCCGCCCGGAGTTTCGGGGAAACCGGCAAAAGGGGATGCCGAAAAATGAAAGTAGCTCGTAGGTAAAAGAAAATGGCACCGTTCCACGGCATGGCCCTTATACTGCTTGGAATCGGGTGTCACCTGTTACGCGCCGAACCGGCCTCCGATCATCGGAACCAAGGTAGAATCGCGCACGCTGTTTCGCGGAGCCCGATCGGCGATCCGAATACGTTTCGTTTTGCGTCCATCGCGTCGCAAATCTTCCGCCCGGACACATTTTCTTTCGGTGGACCGCGGGAGACCGCGGCTTAATCGGCGCGCTTCGATTTCAGCGGCGCAACGATTCGAGGACGAGATCGGCAGGACGGAGCGACGAACGCATCGGGGGACGAGGAGGACCGCGTTTTACAAGGATCCTGCTCAGAAAGTGACCGCGGTTGTCGGGCAGACCGTCGTGCTGTTGTGCCGTGTGAGAAATTTGGGGAACAGAAACGTGAGTGTCGCGCGTCGAAATCGGCCGCTTCGCGATCGGTAGATGCGATTTCTGTCGATCGCTCATCGTCGCGGTTCGCCGGGAAACCGTTTTCAATGCGAGCCGTTTAGCGCTTCGCTTTTGTCGGGCCGTTGACGTAGCAGGCGTTGAGAACGTAGGCGATTGAGAACACCGAGAATTTGTTGTACCAGGTGTCCTGGATTCGGAAAAGGGACTTGCACATCCTGACGTCCATGTCCACGACGTACACGAGCGACGCGAGATTCACGATAATCGGCGACCAGGAGAAGGACGAGTGGAACCTGAAGATAGATTACGTGCAACCACGGGACTCCGGCATCTACGAGTGCCAAGTTAACACGGAGCCCAAGATTCACAGGGCGATCGCGTTGAGAGTCTTGGGTGAGTTTCCGTCGCGTGCCGTTCTCGGCCAGCTCGTCCGCGCTTTCGTTCCGTTTCTATTTTCTACCCGAGATCTTTATTTCACGCGTATTCCGCTTGAATACACGTGAAATTCGTACACGAGTAATTCAGGACGTGTCACGTTAAGGACACGTGTATCCGTGAATTATTTCATTATACTTAATAGTAGATTAACACTTTATTATACTTAATAGTAGATTAACACTTTATTATACTTAACACTAGATTAACACTTTATTATACTTAATAGTAGATTAACACTTTATTATACTTAACACTAGATTAACACTTTATTATACTTAACACTGGATTAACACTTTATTATACTTAACACTGGATTAACACTTTATTATACTTAACACTAGATTAACACTTTATTATACTTAACAGTAGATTAACACTTTATTATACTTAACACTAGATTAACACTTTATTATACTTAACAGTAGATTAACACTTTATTATACTTAACACTAGATTAACACTTTATTATACTTAACAGTAGATTAACACTTTATTATACTTAACACTAGATTAACACTTTATTATACTTAACAGTAGATTAACACTTTATTATACTTAACACTAGATTAACACTTTATTATACTTAACAGTAGATTAACACTTTATTATACTTAACACTAGATTAACACTTTATTATACTTAACACTAGATTAACACTTTATTATACTTAACACTAGATTAACACTTTATTATACTTAACACTAGATTAACACTTTATTATACTTAACACTAGATTAACACTTTATTATACTTAACACTAGATTAACACTTTATTATACTTAACACTAGATTAACACTTTATTATACTTAACACTAGATTAACACTTTATTATACTTAATAGTAGATTAACACTTTATTATACTTAACACTAGATTAACACTTTATTATACTTAATAGTAGATTAACACTTTATTATACTTAACACTAGATTAACACTTTATTATACTTAACACTGGATTAATACTTTATTATACTTAACACTGGATTAACTCTTTATTATACTTAACACTGGATTAACACTTTATTATACTTAACACTAGATTAACACTTTATTATAGTTAACAGTAGATTAACACTTTATTATACTTAACACTAGATTAACACTTTATTATACTTAATAGTAGATTAACACTTTATTATACTTAACACTAGATTAACACTTTATTATACTTAACACTAGATTAACACTTTATTATACTTAACACTAGATTAACACTTTATTATACTTAACACTAGATTAACACTTTATTATACTTAACACTAGATTAACACTTTATTATACTTAACACTAGATTAACACTTTATTATACTTAACACTAGATTAACACTTTATTATACTTAACACTAGATTAACACTTTATTATACTTAACACTAGATTAACACTTTATTATACTTAACACTAGATTAACACTTTATTATACTTAACACTAGATTAACACTTTATTATACTTAACACTAGATTAACACTTTATTATACTTAACACTAGATTAACACTTTATTATACTTAACACTAGATTAACACTTTATTATACTTAACACTAGATTAACACTTTATTATACTTAACACTAGATTAACACTTTATTATACTTAACACTAGATTAACACTTTATTATACTTAACACTAGATTAACACTTTATTATACTTAACACTAGATTAACACTTTATTATACTTAACACTAGATTAACACTTTATTATACTTAACACTAGATTAACACTTTATTATACTTAACACTAGATTAACACTTTATTATACTTAACACTAGATTAACACTTTATTATACTTAACACTAGATTAACACTTTATTATACTTAACACTAGATTAACACTTTATTATACTTAACACTAGATTAACACTTTATTATACTTAACACTAGATTAACACTTTATTATACTTAACACTAGATTAACACTTTATTATACTTAACACTAGATTAACACTTTATTATACTTAACACTGGATTAACACTTTATTACACTTAACACTGGATTTACGGAGCACAAAAGACAGCTGTTTTATATCAGCTTATAAAAGTAACAATAAGACATTTATTCTGATTTTTAACAAGTGTTGTTGTCACATTTGCTGGAAGTAACGTATAAATTGAATACATAACTCATAAATGTGTCTTTACGATGGGAATAGTCGTAAATTACGAAATTAGTGTTCCGTCGTTTTGACGGGTTCCGTAAATCTAGGGTTAAAGTGCAGTAAAGCACGTGCAGTAGTTCACGCGTGTTCAGTTTCACGATGCATTAATACATTTTTATTTCAGTTTAAGTAATTTTTAGGGTGTCGGCCTTGATTTATGATTCGAGAGTATGGCTTTTATTAACGTAATGTTTCCTTAATTTATAACACACGTTTTTAACAAATGAGCATTACGTTTTCTTATTGTATTATATCATATTAACATAATGTTTCTTTTTTAAACGTATAAGATGTGCTTTTAACAAATTAATACAACGTTTTTGTTCATTTTCATTCGACTATGCGACATCATTGAAAGTAAATAATTATTTTTAAAAATAATTTTTCCGTAGCTTTGATCCGATAAATTAGTATCGATATTTTAAAAATTATATCAATTTGAATGAACACGTATAAATGTACGTGTAACGAAATACAGGTGAATTGATACACGTGTGTTTAAACATACGTGAAACAATTCCCGGGTACACGTGTCCTTATTATGACACGTACTTCGGTACACGTATGTGTACCGAAGTGCACGTGCACACGTATGTTTCTAATACACGTTCAAAACGACGATCTCTATTTTCTAACGACGCACGGTGGTCGGTTTCCATACAAAAAAAAATGTGGATAAAAGATATATCAATTAAAATTATATATTTAAGCCTTACTTTCTTATTTTATATTACTCGTACATATATTTGGGTTTGCGTTGGGATAGAATAATGAAAACAAGACGCAGTGTTTTAATTATCTCTAAACAAATTTTAAAAAAATATAATTTTTGTTTTCGATTCAGTTAAATTAAATTAGAATACCCTCTCTATTTTTATATTATGACCACTTCTTGATCGTTTTTTCTCTCATACTCGACATGAACGAGTCAGATGTGAGCAAAAGTGTGCATGTAATTAAAAAAAATAATTTATAATTATCCTCATCACTTTCAATAGAGTGCAAACAGTGGAAATATATCGATATCTTACTCAACCTATTCAAAACATCAAGCGTAGCCCATAGATATCACGACCTGCTTCGTAACACGTGTCATTTTGGCATTATTATTAGATGATTTCTCCAATAGCAGCTAATAGCAGCCAATTATTATTTTGTTATTACCGTAAGGCACCGCTCTTTAAAATCCGATCAAAGCGAACACCGAACTCCACTAAGCTCATAATTAAAAAATGAAATGAAAATTCAACATATTCAATCGGACATAACACAAAAACTGTGAAAGATAAAGAATTGTCCTGTGACATGATTTAAGTACATATTAAGCACATTAAATTCTGTTTAAAAATTATTTATTTCCAAAGAGCAAAACAATTATAAACGATGATATAAATTTAGGATGATTTGGAGATCGGCTGCTTCGAAGCCACGTAGCCCTGTCCAAATTGAACAAATGGTAACAAAGATCACAGTAAATAATAAGCCACACGTTTAATTGACTACTGGTAATATAATAAATAATATATTAAATAATATATATATATATATATATAAATATATATATATAAATATATATATATATAATATAATATATTATATATATTATAATATATATATACTTATATAAATAATATATTAAATAACATATATATATATAAGTAATATATAAATAATATATATAAATTATGCATTACGGGGATATTTTTGAAAACTGACTTTCGTCCGCTTTTCGTACGGAAACCGACCGCCGTGCGACGCAGACGTGCAGGCAAAGATCACGGGCCCCGAGGAAGTGTTCGTGAAGAAGGGCAGCACGATCGGCTTGACTTGCATCGTGGACACGCAGGACATTCCTCCGAGCAACGTGACTTGGTATCACGCCGGTGCAGCGATCGATTTCGACGGTCCGAGGTGCGTCACGTGTCCCGCGTCTCTCGCGTAACAAACTTTGCTCTCCTATCGTTCGTAACGTTCGTCCGATTCTCTTGCGCCGAGGACAAGCAGCCCGGTGAAGACGAATCGCGCGATCCATCGTCGTATCGTCATCCCTTATGCGATCTTTCCCGTCCGGCAGGGGCGGCGTTTCTTTGGAGACGGAGAAAGGTAAAAACGGCACCACCAGCAAGCTGCTGATAACGCGTGCACTGCTCGACGACAGCGGAAATTACACGTGCGCTTCGAGCAAGGTGGCACCGGCGAGCGTCATGATCCACGTGTTAAACGGTGAGCGAAGCAAGATAACTGTCGCGGTAAAACGTTCGATTCTCCAGGATATCGTTTCCGATCGGATTTTCTCGCGCTAGTCCGCGTATTTTTATTGAACGCGCTCATAGCGATCGTTGCGCACGCGCGGCCCGCGATAATTAAAACAGATAAATTCCTTTTAATGAAATTAGAAACCATTTTAATATTCCGCGGATACGCGTCCCGTTTAATCGATTATTTTAGTCGGAACGGAGAGCCGCGAACTTTTTGCTATACGGTAATGTCTCCCTAATTGACGCTCAGATCGTCCACAAAAATAGATGATTTGGGAAGAAGAGATACGATTATTCAATATCGATGTTCGGAGATCGATATTGAAACCAGCAGATCTGAGAACACCAGGTCGCGATTCTTCGAGCCTCGCGGCTCGTTTTTTATGGGAACTCGGGGCAGTTGGCAAAGAAAGACAGCGACCAGCATGCTCGCGTATATTAATATAAATACGTAGTAATGCTAGAATAAAAATGATAATTCAAACTTTTTATTTCTAATTTTTTGCCACGATTTGTAGGCGATTCGAAGGCCTGGCACAGTAATTTCTCCCTAATTCGCGCTCAGATTGCGCACAAAAGTGGACAATTTGGAAAGGAGAGATACGATTATTCAATATCGATGTTCGGAGATCGATATTGAAACCGGCAGATCTGGGAATACCAAGTCGCGATTCTTCGGGCCTCGCGGCTCGTTTTTTATGGGAACTCGGGGCAGTCGGCAAAGAAAGACAGCGACCAGCATGCTCGCGTACATTGATATAAATACATAGTAATGCTAGAATAAAAATGATGACTTAAACTTTTTATTTCTAATCTTTTGCCACGATTTGAAGGCGATTCGAAGGCCTGGTACAGTAATTTCTCCCTAATTCGCGCTCCGATTGCGCACAAAAACGGACAATTTGGGGAAGAGGAGATACGACTATTTCAGCCTTGCAGCGCGTTTTTATAGTTGTTGACAATCGATAACCATTAAAAGCCACAAGGCTCGAACAATCGTATCTCTTCCAAAATTGACCATTTTTGTGGACAATCTTCCACAAATTGTCCATTTTTGTGGACAATCTGAGCGTCAATTAGAGAGACATTACTGTACAGATTTCTAATCTTTTGCCACGATTTGAAGGCGATTCGGAGGCCTGGTACAGTAATTTCTCCCTAATTCGCGCTCAGATTGCGCACAAAAGTGGACAATTTGGAGAGAAGAGATACGATAATTCGAGCCTCGCGGTTTGCCTTTACAGTTACGAATGGTCAAGAATTACAAAAACGAGCCGCAAGGCTCGCATAATCGTATCTCCTCTTCCCAAATTGTCCATTTTTGTGCACAATCTGAGTGTTAGTTAAGGAAACACTACTGTATCTCTAAAGTTTGCTACATTTTCGGATCGCTTTTTATTATGGGATCTCGGGGCAGTCGGCAAAGAAAGACAGCGACCAGCATGCTTGCGTACATTAATATAAATACATAGTAATGCTAGAATAAAAATGATGACTTAAACTTTTTATTTCTAATCTTTTGCCACGATTTGTAGGCGATTCGAAAGCCTGGTACAGTAATTACTCCCTAATTCGCGCTCAGATTGCGCACAAAAGTGGACAATTTGGAGAGAAGAGATACGATAATTCGAGCCTCGTGGTTTGCCTTTACAGTTACGAATGGTCAAGAATTACAAAAACGAGCCGCAAGGCTCGCATAATCGTATCTCCTCTTCCCAAATTCTCCATTTTCGTGCACAATCTGAGCGTCGGTTAGGGAAACACTACTGTATCTCTAAAGTTTGCTACATCTTCGGATCGCTTTTCATTAGGCCGTCTCATAAATAACTTCCGACGCAGCTACGTGGTATCTATTGTCCGTGTCCGTCCATTATCAGTCACCGGGACGAACTAGTTTTCGATGTTTCGCTAAATAGACAGGGCTTCAAAATAAATGCAAAAAAGAGTGAATAAAAGGAGAAAAATAAAATAAACGTCTTGTCGAGCGAATGGAAGTTATTTATGAGTCGACCGAAGCACCGCGACCGAGATGATGAAAGAAACCGTGAAATTTTCAGGCGAGCATCCCGCGGCGATGCAGCACGGCGGCACGGGTAACGCGAATCGAAGGGCGATTTTCTTCAGTCTGCTTCTACTGGTGGACAGGACATTGCGGTGAGGCGTCGTCCCCGCCTCCGTGGCGTTCTACCTGCACATCTTTTCCCGGTGATTGATCGGCCTGCTCGCAGGAGGACCGGATCACACCGGTGTTTCACCAATTTCGACGGTCGGCGTCCACGGGAACACCGTTCGTGGAAACGGCATCTCTTGCTCTCGTTTGTTCAATTCCCTGTAAAGCGAAGAAAGAAAAAGAAAACGGAAAAACAAACAAAAAAAAGCAAAAAAAAGCGAAGAAAAGCGAGCGAAAAGCAGGATGAAATATAACAGCGTGTTTTATTAAACTGCGAAACGCAAGCTCGTGTTATGAATACCTGGCCTTGCACACCGACGTGCCGCGCGCGTGTTCCTGTTCCCGTATGATTCCTTCCGACGTATATTACGGGGCGGGTCGTGTCGCGGCGTGGCCAACAAACTTTTCCTGGTTCCGCGCGGATGGAAATTGTAAGGCGTGCCCGACGGCGTTCGTTACTCGAAATGATCGAGTTGCCGCGCCGGGATAAATGCGGGAACGGCGGTCATAAGGTCGCCGGACAACGGGAGTCCGGCCGGAATTGTTCCGCGACCGGATTCAATAGGTAAGTTTGTCCGGGCTGACGTTAACGAGCTCTCGGCGCGCGGCCGCCGCTACAGCGGTCCCGAATTACGAACGGTTCGCGTCACCTCTTCACCCGTTCCTTTCTTTCCCCTTTCTTCCTCGTTCCCCGCCGCCTTTTTTCCCGGACCCCGAAGCCCATCGAGATTTATCAAGACATCGAACTTTCTCGGGAGACAGCATTACCCGTTTTTCGACGCGCGAAGAACCGGCTCGCCGATTTCCTCCCTCGTCAACGGCTGCATTGTTCGACGTTTAATTTGTCCCCGTTGTCCTCGGTTCTCGACGCTGGACTTTATCGAGCTGGAAAAGTAACCGACGCGTGTTACGGAAACAACAAGACCGGTTGAAATCTTTGCACTCGAAGCGATATTAATTGGAAAATTTAAATCAACTTTCTTGATTTATGGTATTTCCATTTCAGCGACGAAGTGCATTTTATGCCTACGAAATCGAGTCTTGTGACTGGTACTACGGTTAGACTTTTAACAATTCTTTGTGCCTGAGCTTCGATATTATAAATATTATCTTGGAACGTGGCGTAACAATTTTAGTGGTGTCTCGGAGTCACCACTCGATTGCAAAGGGTTAAAACTTGACGCTATATTTATTTGAACATTTTTAGTGCCGAACGACGATGTATCGTTGCTCGCAACGCTAGCGAAAATAGTGCCATACGGCGCGCCGATAATGTCTCCCTAACTGACGCTCGGATTGTGCACAATAATGGACAATTTGGGAAGAGGAGATACGATTATTCGAGCCTTGCAGCTCGTTTTTATAGCTGTTGAGAATTCGAATAGAATATGACAATTCGAATAGATCGAACAATCGTGTCTCCTCTTTCTAAATTATCCATTTTTCTAGACAATCTGAGCGTCAATTAGAGAGATATTATTGTATATCGTTGCGTATTTAATGGCGCCTAATTATTCGGGATGCATTAGTAAGCATCGATGCTAAATAAATTAATTGCGCGAATAGTAATAACTACATATTGCACATTTTTTCAATAGCCAGATAACACGAAATATAAATATTTATAATACTAAAATTTTTTTTAAATTACGTTCTATTGGCTAAAATTCACTAAAATTTACTTATTTTGTGACAGTTTTGTGCCATCTTGCCGTGCATCATGGCATTATCCTTTAGGTTTGTGGTCCGATAGTGCAATGCAGTAAATCCTCCCCAATTGACGCTCAGATTATCCACAAAAATAGACAATTTGGCAAATGAAGATACGATTATTCGAGCTTTGCAGTTAGTTTTTATAGTTACCGATTGCCAACAGTTATAAAAACTGTATCTCCTATTAATTGTAAAAATTGTATCTCCTCCAAAATTGTCTATTTTTGTGCACAATTTGGGCGACAATTAAGAAGACATTACTGTATCTATAATTCATAATTAGCTTAATTAATTAGCTAATTCATAAAGCTACGATCGAACGATGATTTTTCTTATGGTGCGCCAGCCGAGCTCGTCTCTCATTGGTCACTCTATTTCGTTAATAACTCGCAAACGAAGCCGCGGTTCGCATTCTCGCTAAGGAAAAAGTTGCTTCAAATGACCTCAGAAACCCCCGATTTCCGGATTGCGAGACATTTCTGGGACACCCTGTATAGTCGCGCGCTCTGAAAAGAAGGCGCCGCAGCGAACTGCTTAAGATACTTGTTCAATTATTTTCCGCGAGAGTGCCTCTATAGACTGAAATAAAAAAGAGAAGTGAAACTGGTCGTTCCGACGGCTGCGATGGGTTTTTATCGTCGAAGAATTTTTATTCCGCAGCGAGCACGGTGTATATCATGGGATCTTTCCCAGGACATTATCAGCGTTTCGAAGTTGAAACGCGTTTCGAACGGTGTTTCGGAACGAGGGGACCCGGCCGGCGCGCCGGTTTCCTCCGATATTTTTCGATCGGTTTGAGAAGATAATGGCCCGATACGAAATCTAGCTGCGCGGATGCGATAGCACGAAATTGCTTTATAACCCGGTGCCGTGAAAGCGAAGGCAGCGAAAGAGAACGCGCGAGAGTCGTTATATCCGAAAACTCGAAACAGCGCGACGGCAAACAAAAGCCGTGCAAACCTGCGCGTATATCGTACGATACAATAGACGATGTACGATATACACGTTTGACGTTGTGTGTTGTTCGCGAGCTATCGAACGGTCGGGCACGGAGGAGACAGAAAAAAACGCGTCGGTCTTCTTTTTTTTCGGGATCGTCGTCGATGTTTAATCTCGATGCGCCGGGCTAATTGGATCGAACAGTCGCCGGAAAACGGTGCTTACGTTCCCATCGAGGTGTAGCGGGTTCGACGCACGTCAGAAATTTCTGATAAAAATGGAGAAGGCCGTGGCGAGGAGCCCGTCGGTCGATCGATCCGCGGTAATTATTCGTAACGCTGATGATGACGGTCGTCGACGGTCGTTGACGGGGCTCGTGAAAATCGTCGATGTCGTTTCAGAGCAGGAGGAGATTGCTGTCGAAGATGTCCATGGTCGGATCATTCGGCAGCCGTATGTTCTTCCACAAGCGCGGGGATCGATTGAAAGTACGTCCGTGTTGAAACGTTGTTACGCGGTTTCGCGTTGCCGAAACAATGGCGAACGGCCGTCGATTTTAATCGGGACGCCCTTTTCCTGGCGACACGCGCGCCTAGATCCCCAAGTACCAAAACACCTATCGGCTCGAATCGTTCAACAGCTTCAACGCCGAGGTGGTCGACGATCTGGTGACGGACATAATGGAGAGCAGATTGGCTACGGTGACGGCCTATCATCCGATTCATGCGGCGAAACTGTGCCAGGAAATCGGGTCCGATTTGATGAAAGCGATCTCCAAGAAGGACTACGATAGGTAATCGCTGGACAAACGCGACGGGACCTTCAAAGTGCACTCGTAATGCTCCGGGATTACGCGAGGACACACTCTTTCACTCTCTGGATACTCGGTCAAAATTTTATAATAATAATAATAATTTTATTTATCGACGGGATAAACCCTTTGTTATAAAATGAGAAAGAGAGAGAGAGAGAGAGAGAGAGAGAGAGAGAGAGAGTGGGAAGAGGAGGGAGAGTAATAATACGATCTTTAGATCGAGAATTATCATTATTATTTATTGATAAATAGACTAGACTCTTTGCATACAAAGTAATTGATACAGGATGTCCCGAAAATGTCTCGGAATCCGGAAATGGGAGGTTCCTGAGGTCATTTGAAGCAATTTTTTCCTTTGCGAAAATTTTCTCCGAGACTTCGTTTACGAATTATTAACGAAAAACACTGACCAATAAGAGGCGAGCTCGGCTGGCGCGCGGCGGCCCAGTCAACGAATGCGCGGAGCCCAGTTCCGATCATTGGCTCGGCCGTCTCGCGCCAAACGATCTCGCCTCTGATTGGTCACTGTTTTTCGTGAATAACTCGTAAACGAAGCCGCGAATTGCATTTTCGCTAAGGAAAAAGTTGCTTCGAATGACCTCAGGAATCCCCTACTTTCGGATTGCGAGACATTTTTGGGACACCCTGTACATATACACGGTGAGTCACAAATTAGTCCCGACGATTTTTTCAGCCCCCTCCGACGGTCTGACAGAAAAATGTTTCCTGTCAAAGTTACTTAGTATTTAACCGACAAGAAATCGCAATCGTTCAAATTTTAAAACAAATTGATATTCGATGAAATGACAAGGTCACCGTTACATTTTTAAACGAAACTAGGTTAAATTAACTTAATAGTATTGTAGGTGACGTCGAGACGAATTCAACGACCTGCTACATAACGATCCTCGGACGATATCGAAGGAGGAATAACCATGAATTGCCACGATATTATAAATACAAATTACATAAACAAATGAAAATGCGCAATCAACACGATTATCAATCAATAATAATAATCTCATACGATCGACGAAAAGGCCAGCGAAACGTGGATCGACGCTAAGTAGACGAATCTGAAAGAAACCCCGTTGGCCATGTTCGGTGAATTGCGAATGCACTCGGTTCGGTTCTATCGCGCGGATGCACTTAGGCGTCCGCGATTCAGGCGCGCGAATCGCGGTCGCATAATAAATACAATAATGTCGGGCTTTCTCGCTGCAAGATACAAAATAGTGGCGCAGGTGACCATCGTTCAACGTCTCGATCAAAGCATTCACGCGAGCTTCCAGTGCCTCTGGGACGTGGACCGCGACAACTACTCCTACTACGTTTACGAGAACGAGCACATACACGCTTGGTGCTGTGTGTTCGGCCTGTACTACGAGTGAAATCCGTTTCGACGAGCTGCGCCGTACTCCATTTCCTGAGAACGCCTGAACACCGAACAATGAACACGTCCCTGGACGGCCCGGCCCGGCCCGACCCGAAACCAACCCAAACCAAACCACCCCCGGAGCCGCGCGACGTTCCCAACGAATTCGGCGCTCATCGTCGAATTTTCGGCCGTGTCAACGACGTCGCAAAATTTACAATTTACCAGACACCGAATTGTATTCGATGGTAGAGAGAGATATAGGCCGGCTCTGTGCGACCATTACAGCGATGCATCGCGTCGATGGATTTGTTCGTGTCCCACGAAGCGTCGCTCTCTCTTTCTCGAAAACCGATTTCGCCGATCGATCCTCGAGGGTTGGCCGCATAGTATCAATATTTATTATACTCTTTTTCGCAGTAGGAAACCAGCTGTCCACGGCCGATTCTTCTCCGAGACGATTTATAGCGGAACTTTCGCCGTTCGCTCCTCGGTTCGGAACAAACCGTCGCAGCGACGGCGGCGCACAGATTCACAGATTCCAAGTTTCACCGAAACACCGCGGAATCCTTATTTCGGGAACGATGGTATCGTCGCGGCGTCGCGACCTCGTCGGAACTTTTATCGTTGCGCCCTTTTATCGGGGCGACCGAGGGAAGTTGAATTCACGAGCGCGCGATGCTCCGGATTCGCGGTGGCCGCGCGCGCGCGCGCGCTCTCTCTGCAATATCTCAGCAATCTAGCGGAACAAAATTATATCGCGGTAACGACGCGTAAAATCACAGTTTACTTCGTTTGACCCCGCCGACCGAGTCGCGCCCGCAACTTTTTTTTAAAAAGTGTTGTTTCATTGTTCCCCGCAAGTGCTGACGCTGTTAGCAATGAACCTACACCAGAGCCGGTCGTTTCAAAATTTCATTTAACAGCCGTCGTAATTACGAGGGTGTTTCTATGAAATACGATCTAACAAATTATTCGAACACGTTTTTTTTAAATAAAGATCGCACACAAAGTTTATATAAAATCAGTCCTGTCGTTTTTACGGGGAAAATCATTTCAGTTACTTTGAATGGTACTTGGTAGATTCAGTGTTAAAATAATGAATTATTCTAGCAGATTTTCTTATCAAGATCGCAGAGAATCTAAATAAATTCAGTCCTATTATTTCTACTAGAACAATCATTGCAAAGTCTAAGTATCTAAGTCTAAATTCCAGATCTAAATAAATTCAGTCCTGGCATTCCTACTAGAAAAATCATTGCAAAGTCTAAATATCTAAGTCTAAATTCCAAGTCTAAATAAATTCAGTCCTGTTATTTTTACTAGAAAAATTATTGCACAATCTAAATATCCAAGTCTAAATTCCAAGTATAAATAAATTCAGTCCTGTCATTTCTACTAGAAAAATTATTACAAAGTCTAAATTCCAAATCTAAATAAATTCAGTCCTGTCATTTCTACTAGAAAAATTATTGCAAAGTCTAAATATCTAGGTCTAAATTCCAAATCTAAATAAATTTAGTCCTGTCATTTCTACTAGGAACATCATTCTAAAACCTAAATATCCAAGTCGAAATTCCTAGTCTAAATAAATTCAGTCCTGCCTTTCCTACTAGAAAAATCATTCTAAAATCTAAATATCCAAGTCTCAATTTCAAGTCTAAATAAATTCAGTCCTGCCTTTCCTACTAGAGAAATCATTGCACAATCTAAATATCCAAGTCTCAATTTCAATTCTAAATAAATTCAGTCCTGTCATTCCCCCTAGGAAAATCATTCCAGTTACTTTGAATGGTATTTGGTTGGTTCAGTGTTAAAATAACAAATTATTCAAGCAGATTTTCTAATAAAGATCTCGCAAAATCTAAATAAATTCAGTCCTGTCATTTCCACTAGAAAAATCATTCCAAACTCTGGATATCCAAGTCTAAATAAATTCAGTCCTGTTATTCCTGCTAGAAAAATCATTCCAGTTACTTCGAAACGCTACTCGATAGATTCAGCGTTAAAAGCCTCGCGTTAAAACCAAAAAGACCGATTAAAAGACCTATTTAACCGATTAGATCGATCGATGCTCCTCGACCAGCAATTATTTTGTCCCGCCAGATCGCTGAAATATGAAACCGCGCGACACTGTTCCCGGCTTTTTCGGAGTCGCCGGATTTCCCGATAGCGTTCGACAGCAACGCCGAGTCAATGGATCGAGGTGGCGGTGCGTTTAGGCGTCCGAAATAGCGGAACGGGAAACGGAAGCGAAAGGGGTGTGCGCGGGCCCCGCGTCTCGACACGTAGAAAATTACGTGTTCGGCTGGAATTTCCTTTTCACGGTCGAAATCGAGAACGGCGGAGAAGTGGCGAAGGTGCCGAAAAGGCTGTCGGCGACGCGGCAACGAGAGAAATTCCGCCGCCGCAGCAGCAGCAGCAGCAGCAGCGGCTTCGTCGTTCCGAGAGAAAAGGGAAGCTGATCGACGTCGGGTAGCGGGGCAATCTATCACCTCTGCTCTGCTCGGGTTCGACGTAAAATCAATGCAGATCCTCATTTCCATGGAAATAATCTGTGACGAGAGAGCGCGGCAGCTCGCGCCGCTAACCGGAAACGGAATTTCGGAAGGCGGGCGGGATGGAAAAACCTTCTTCCGGTGTAATCGGATCTGGCGGGGCTTAACGTGAACGTAATTAAACTCTGCCGATTTTCGAAAAGTCGAGCTACCTCGTTCGCGCTCGAGTCTCCGCTTGATCCGTTGTTCCCAGGCGAAATCCTCCCAGGCGTCGAGTGCTCTTCGCGTCTTCCATCGCGAAAAATCGATCGATCGCCTATCGGAATAAGCGTTGTACAATAGTTTTTACGGTTCCGCCGGCGAGCGGGATCTCTTTCTCTCTATCTCGACGAAAAATTCCATTGATCGTCGTCACCGGAACCGTTTCCGAAACCGTTCTTCGGCAGCGAAAGAATTCCCGAACCGGCCGCTGCCGCGAACGGGAACGGGAACGGCAGATATTCCACGAGATCGGCACGAGAGATCTCGTTAACGTTTCTGGTCACGCTCGGTGCGGCGCGATTTCGACGTTTCCATCGAATTTAATATTCCGACCGGTGTACTCGCAACGGTCGTTCGCGCTCGGCACATATATTTTAACGTCTCGTAAAGGGAAACTGTGAAATAATAAAGCGCAGCCCCGCGCAGTCGGGCCGACGGTTTATCGCGTCCGGAGCACGGACAAAGACAGAGCCGAGAATTGGAACGGAATCCGATTTCGATAAACAAGGCTCGTCCGAGGCCGGCCGCTCGCAAATCTGCGATTTTATGACGGCACTTTGGCCATATTTCCGGTATACATCGCGCCGAACACCGTTTCGTTTGCTCAGCAAGTTGAACGTGGTCCTCGGGAAACGCGTATTCCGTGTTCCCGGGTTCCCATGTTTCATGTCCCATGGTCAGCCGGCTCGGAAGTCAGAAGCCCCAATCGTGTCACGGACCGCTGTTCTAATGAAACTTGTGTGCACCGTTTCCCAGGTTCCTGCGTCGTCCTCCCCTAACTGGAAAAAATAGGCTCTCGAGACGTTGCCGAGAGCCCGAGTAACCGTGAACCGAGAATAACGACGCGGCCCGTTCCGCTTTCAATTTGTAGCGCACCGAATCACCATCGTTTGTCCGCATTTCCTTCCGGTCGATCCTCTATTAGAGCCCGGCATTATCATTATCAGCCAAAGCGCAGCTACTAATTGTCAATTTCCCGCGTTACCGTTTTAATCCCGCTTTAAAGTCGATTTATATCGTCCGTTTCGGACCCAGGCAAACGTTATTGCGAGTAAAGAGACGTTTACAGCGGCTGACGAAAGTGTTCGAACACGGTTTAAAACGCGATAACTTTTTTCAAACTGGGCTAAATGACTTGATTTTTTTTGGATGATGGAGGGATTAATCCACTAGACAAGTGAAATGATTTTTCTTAATTTTGCTATTGCTTGAAATGAGAAAAAAAAATAAAAGCTAATAAAATGAGCCTATTACGAAAATTTAAAAAATGTATTTTGTAGATCTTTATATAATTTATGTACCTGATACTATTTACCGTAATTTGCATTACAATGAGTTACGATTATTTCTTCTACATTCAGGTCTGCCAATTCGCTCCTTTCAGTCGATGAAATTTATTTAACCCATTAACTGCCACGATCCCCCAATTTTGGGATTTTGGAATTTTATGTACGCCACTTGCCGTGAAGAATATATCAGGCGCGCTTGACAGTTTAATGCTATTTTATATAATACATATCAGTCAATATTGTTTATAGCCGACGGTGTGTATTTTGTGTTTCGTTTCTTTTTAACAAGCGAACAAATTTGGAAATCGTCTGTAAGTTGAACCCAACAAAATGATCGTATTTGAGGCATGATAGGTTTGGTTTTTATGTTATAAGTAAATACCGTACATAAATGTGTTATTTAGAGGTTATGGCAACTATGTGTTCTTGTTTTATTTGTCCAACCTGCCACAATCCCCATTTGGGACTTTTTAAAAAATATAAGATATTTATAATGTAAAATGCAGAAATCGGCTTTAAACCTTTGCATTCGAATGGCAACTCTGAAGCACCACGTTGCTACATAATTTTTTGAAGTAACTTTTGCATGATTAAATTGGTTTATATTTGAACAGTTGTTAAAATTGTAAGTATTACACTGTGGCAAATGAGCTTAATTTTGTGTGCATGTAATACAAAAATAATACAAATGAAAATACTGTACGTTCAAGAAAATAGTTTAGTTTTGAAGTTAATATAACCTCGAGTGTAAAGAGTTAATAAAATTGAAAAATCATTGGTAAGATTCTCATCTTTGAAAGTCTCTTGTGTTGCTTTAATGCAGAGTGCGTCTTTTTCTTTAAAGCTTTCGACAGCCCAGAAATAAACAAAAGCTTTTATTATCTCGTATAGAATTAATGGTGCAGTTAATCTTAATTACCTAAACGAAACTATATACACACACGCGTGTAGGACATAAATAAAACCGATATAAGCAAAAATATACAAAATAGAAAACATATGCAATAATGCAATATATTATGAATAATATATTATGAACAATTAAAGACCGTGAAAGTCGCAGTATCGTCCCGATTTTCGACACTTTCGACAAATACATGTCAGAAATTCGCAGTTTTCGAAATCTTTCAACGCCGGCAGCTTGACTCTGCGTTAATCGATACCGACGAAACTTTCAGCATGCATATAAATCACCGTGACCCGCATTACACACTTTTCAAACTTTCGTTATAGGCTCGAATAAAAAAAGTTAAAATTAAAATTAAATCAAAATGAATAAAAATGAATTAAAATAAATTAAATTAATTAAAACGAATTAAATTAATTAAAAGATTAAAATCTATTCTTCGTTGCCATTCCAAGTAATAGCAAAATTAAAAAAAAGAAGAAGTATTACAATCATTGTGTAATAGGCTAGTCCTTCGATCATCTGAAAGGTATTCAGAGCATTTAGTCCAGTTTTAAGTAGAAAATACCGTTTCAAAGAGCGTCCATACGTGTACTATTCCTCCCCGACAGTGCATATATCGGCCTTCAATCCTCCGCAACAACCGAGGCAAGTTCCGTAGTTTTCATCCATCCATCCCCTTCCCGCAGCTCCACTCGACCAATTGTGTTCTACTCACAATTATATAATTGAAACGAACTCTTCAAACAGAGTCGGAGGAAATGAAAAAGTCTTTTCCGTATGCAGAGTCAAAGAATGGGCGAGTTTTTTTTCGCCCGTGGAGCGTATGTAGGTTAACGCATTCCTTTCTCTCTTTCTTCCTGCCCCTATCTTTCTTTCTTTCTTCTCTCTTTTTTCCTTCCTGTAATTACAACCGTTATTAGAGGATATTTTCCAGCGGTACTAGTTGTCCCTGGTACTTTTCGGACGGCCGCGCGAGGAGCGGCGGGGGGCGGGGGGTTCGACGGGTTTCCGTTCGAAAATCGTGATCGAGGAGAACCGATAAGAACGTTTCTCTCGCAAACGAGCTGCCGTTGCTGCTTTAATTGCTGAATCGATTAAAACCGTTCCCCGGGGGGTCGGTTTGGTACCGCGGAACGAATGCGCGCCGGTGCCCGCCGCTTTCATCCGGCAGCCTCCGCCGACAGCACTTTTACCTTCGCTTCGCTGTTACCCTTTCACTGTTGCTCCCAGCCAGCAGAAGCACCCCTCGAGAAGCACGGCCGATTATCTCGCGCGGTTATCTGCTGGAGGGCCGCCGATCCCTGGCGCACGAGCATCGTTCAAACGTTGTTCCGCGCCTCTCGTCGTCGGTTTTTCCGCGTTCATTCATAATTACGCGGTCTCGTTCCACGCCGAACCGAGGGCCCCGCGATCGGCTCCCCGGCAGATCCGACCGGCATTTTTCGCGCGGCCGCGAGTCAAGACACCGTCGACGACGGAACGGGGAAACTTGGCAGACCGGGAGCCGCGGACAAACGACCCCGCGAATCCATTAAACCGTATCAACCGGCTTCTTTTTCACAGCGTCGGGAGCGCACGGGAGCACAGAATTGGCCGCACGTCAACCGAAGTTTGGCAGCCGACGGCCGCGCGCCAACCGCTCGCTATTAACGATCCCGTTTCCACGATTTATTCATCGCCGGGCCGCCGTCCTGGAATCCCCGGAAATCTCTCGCGAGCTCGGAGCGAGTCAGCTAACGAGACCATAAAGCTCCAAGCCATCCCGACGATTGCTGCTTCGACTCGTCGCGGACCGTCTCATCCGCGTATGATCGATGCAACGGATACACCGTTTCGACGTTCGAGTCGATCGAACCGGCCGGGATCCCTCGAACGCGAGCGCATCGAGGGCATCGCCAGTTCGGCGAATCGAAAATTCAACTTTTCCCCGGTTCCGTCGCGGTAGTTGCTCCAATTTCGCGTCTTCCTGATCGCGCGCGGCGAGCCGAAGCCGGGCGTTGGAGTCGCGTTACGAAATCGGCAAGGAAGAAGCGTTCGAGAAGAGAGAGAGGAGAGAGACAAAAAGGAAGAGGGGATCAAAAGTGGACGAACGTGCTCGGAATCGTAAGGAGATTCGGCTCGTTTCCGATTCTTTGCGTTCCCATTCTATTCGATCCGTTGAACGGCGTGTCTGCTCGAGGCAGAACATATCCTCCCTAGCACAAGCATGTTTGCCGGCCGAACTTGCGCTTTGATACGGCACGGGGCCGCGGATACCTCGACGATAGACTATTTCCGCGAAACATTCGACGACAAACGACGTCTTCGTCTAGCTGCTAACAACAAGTCGCCGGCAGCAACAGCCTTTAGAGTTTTCCTTCCCGGATCGGGCTGCGATTTCGTGCGACAGGATCTTTCGCGCGGACGATTCTCTCCGTGGCGAATCGCGCGATTTCACGCTAGAACTACAATAATGTCTCTCTAATTGACGCTCAGATTGTCCACAAAAGTGGACAATTTTAGACAGGGAGATACGATTGCTCGAGCCTTGTGGCTCGATTTTTATGGTTATCGATAGTCAACAACTATAATAAACGAGCTGCAAGGTTCGAATAATTGTATCTCCTCTTCCCAATTTTTGTGCATAATCTGAGCGTCAGTAAGGGAGACATTACTATAGCGAGCCCTGAACGTGACTAGTGTATAGTAATTTCTCCCTAATTCGCGCTCGGATTGCACGCGAAAATGGACAATTTAGAAAGAGAACGTACGATTATTCGAGCCTTATGACTCGTTTTTATAGTTCTTGATAATCGGTAACTATAAAAACGAGTCGCGAGGCTCGAATAAACATATCCCCACTTTCCAAGCCGTCCATTTTTGTCTAAAATCTGAGGGACCATTGGGGAGAATTTACTGTATTTACGTGGAAAATTCGTCGAAATAAGCCGAGGGTGCGAAGACAGGACAAGGCAGGACAGATTCTTGGACAATTGCACGTGTTCTATGCACATTGTGGGACAACAGGGACGATTATAAACGCGGTATAAATTACTGCGAAGCTAAACGATTCATCTTCTGTAGGTTTTCGGCCTGGCTAACAACAAGTCGCCGGCAGCAACAACCTTTAGAGTTTTCCTTCCCGGATCGAGCTACGATTTCGTGCGCCAGGATCTTTCGCGCGAACGATTCTCTTCGTTGCAAATCGCGCGATTTAACGCTAAAACTACAGAGCCCTGAACGTGACTAATGTACAGTAACTTTTCCCTAATTCGCGCTGAGATTGTACGCGAAAATGGACAATTTAGAAAGTGAACGTACGATTATTCGAGCCTTGCGACTCATTTCTATAGTTCTTGATAATCGGTAACTATAAAAACGAGTCGCGAGGCTCGAATAAACATATCCCCACTTTCCAAGCCGTCCATTTTTGTCTAAAATCTGAGGGACCATTGGGGAGAATTTACTGTATTTACGTGGAAAATTCGTCGAAATAAGCCGAGGGTGCGAAGACAGGACAAGGCAGGACAGATTCTTGGACAATTGCACGTGTTCTATGCACATTGTGGGACAACAGGGACGATTATAAACGCGGTATAAATTACTGCGAAGCTAAACGATTCATCTTCTGTAGGTTTTCGGCCTGGCCAAGAACTTTAGTCGCTTCGTGCATTTGGCTTTCAGGGCTTTCGGCGAGACGGTGAACGCGTCTTCCCTCAGGTCGGTTTCCATTCCTGCGGGACGTTGCGCCGGCTTCGCCAGGATTATCAACCTCGGGGTGGCTGCGAAATTAAAACGCGCGCATTCCTTCGGTCTGCTGCTCGTTCAACATTCGGAAATGCCGGGCGAAAGGAAGCGCCGGCGAATAAGGGGTGTCCCATTCGAAGTTTTACATCTTGGAATGGCCGCGCGTCTGTTCTAAAAGTGGACGTCGCCCTCGAGGCGACAACGCGATCCTCGACTTTTTCCGGTCGAATTAAACGCTTTCGCTTTGCTCTTGCGCTTTTTTGGCGGACGCGTAGAACGTTTCCAGACGAATCCGACGACGACGCATCCGACACGTCGCACAGTCGTCATCTTGATTTTTCTAGGAATTCAAGCTGAACCTAGCTGAACCTATTGGATCGATCGAAAAGTTGTTCCGTTTCTCAACAAATTTGTATCGGTGTTTAAAAGGCACTCGATTCGGTATTTTGCGAATAAAAAAACAAGGCCTTCTACCAGCATAAGATTTCATAGCTATCAGAAAAATGTCAAAAGTCTTCGTCTTTTTTACATTAAACGTTAACAAGTCGTCTTTCATTTTCTCGCGAATGAACGAAACAACTTTCCGCGAACGACCCAATTAATTAATCGGTTTCGTATTTCTTGTTTCATAATTATTGAAGTTATAGAGCTGCTTCCAAATTGTCGACTATATTTCTTTGTTCAGGCACACGCTATTGTAAAAATCGTAAAAAATTTCGATAAGTATTGGTTGGTTTAGTGTGCTAAATAGTAAGTTTCTAAACACTTAAGGATGTGGGTCGAATAAAAAGGTAATAATTTCATTCGACGAATATTCCTGACGAGTAGAGTAGTGGAGGCGGTTACTGCGAGGTGGGGCCAATTACTGTGCCTTTGGCTCGTTATCAGGCAAAATTAACTTCATATTCATCGAATAAGACATATTAAATCCTTGTATTGCTTCATTCTGTTTATTTCTTCGTAAAAAATTAATGTCTTATTCGATAAATATAGTTCATACATAATTATAGTTAATTTAAATGCAAAGCTAATTCAAACGCTTTCTTAACGATTTTCATATTGAACGAAATTGCACGTAGATCGTCTTATACTCAAATATTTTCACGATTAAGCAGGATAATCATTCTCACGATAAACTTTGTCGGATAGCAAAAAATTCCTCTGTCAGAGGTATTCTTTCATCTCGTTCATTCCCGAATCATTCCTTGACTATTTCAGCCTGTTTATCTTTTGCTAAAAGATTTAAGCTTGCCTCGTACACAGCACTACCCCTCCATTGTGAAACTTCGAATGGCACACCTGTACACCGTCTGTACGACGGCGTGTGCAGTCAGCCCGAATTTTTCGCGTTGTATTTCGAGGAGCGTCGCGAAAGACTCGTGGAAATCGTGTCGAGGAAGCCGAGAGCGCGAGTCTAGGGTCCGATAAGTGGAAAGTTCGAGGAGGGAAAAGTACGCGATGGGGGATTGCGATCCGAGATTAGGAGTTTGGGGACTTCGGATCTGGGATGCGCGGGTGTAGCATACGGGTTAGCATACTGGTTGCGTACCTATGGCAGAGAGCGCGGCCCGCGACACTGCACCCGGTTCCCGCGGAGGCAGATGCAGCTGGGGATCTCTGTGTTGCGCGAGCTCCGCCGTCCGATTGCTGATCTTGTAGACGAGAGCGGATGGCGGTACCACGAACGGATCTCGGACGTCCGGCAACTCCCTGCTCGCCGGCGCCGACAGCTCTTCGAGTCTCTGCGCGTTCACCCGCCTCCATTTCCTCTTCTTGCCCTAGAAATCCACCGGAAGACAGTAGACAGAGCCAGCATGGTACACAGTAGCGCGCCGTTTCAAACACAAAAGCCGTTTCGTTTCGACTCGCTACCCAAACGGTACCAGCGTTCCTCAACCCTTTCGCATCGCGAACCAGCACATTTTTCGAAACTTGTTCGACCGAAGTCGACCTGTGTGCCGAGCGTACGCGACAGTGGCCTTTGCAACGGTTGTTCCATAGAGAGCTGCGTTTTCAACGCGAGCGACTCTCCCGCACCAGTTTCGGAAACAAATAATCCGAGGCACCGTGTAAAGATTTATGGAGCACAGTAATTGCTCCCTAATTCGCGCTCAGATTGGACAGATTGAACACGTTGGACAGATCGGACGAAAATAGAGAATTTTGGAAGAGGAGATACGGTTTTCATAGTTAACGATTGTTAACAACTGTAAGACCATTTTATACTGTCTTCCGGGAGCTTCGTGGCAATTACATAGACGTAGGACCACAGAAATTCACAGCAACCCGAAATGTGGCATTTCCGGGAGAAATTAGTGTACAGCAATGTCTCTCTAATTGACGCCCAGATTGCGCACAAAAATGAACAATTTGGGATAAGGGGATACGGTTTTCATAGTTAACGATTGTTAACAACTGTAAGACCATTTTATACTGTCTTCCGGGAGCTCCGAGGCAATTACATAGACGTAGGACCAGAGAAATTCACAGCAACCCGAAATGTGGCATTTCCGGGAGAAATTACTGTACAGCAATGTCTCTCTAATTGACGCCCAGATTGCGCACAAAAATGGACAATTTGGGAAGAGGAGATACGATTATTCGAACCTTGCGGTTTATTTTTGTAGTTATAAATTGTCCACAATTATAAAAACGAGCAGCAAGGCTCGAATAATCGTATCTCCTCTTCCCAAATTATCCAATTTAGTGGACAATCTGAGCGTCAGTAAGGGAGACATTACTGTATATGCTTGAACGATGAAGTTTATATAAAAATGATACTAAATGACACCATAAAAGAGAAAAATGATACTATAAAAATCTGATTGTCAGAAATTTATATATGAACTTCTTCATTCCAGCACATATTATAGTAAAAATCGTAGAAAGTTTAAATAAATCCGATCTTGTCGTTGTTATCAAACAATACACAGGGTGTTCCAAAAATGTCTCGCAATCCGGAATTAGTGGATTCCTGAGATCATTTAAAGTAACTTTTTCCTTTCCGGTTTGCGAGATATTTTTGAGACACTCTGTACGTTAGTCACGAACCTGGGGCTCGGTAGTTGCAGTGCTAATAACTCCTTCAGCCCACTCGGAAGCTCTAATATCTTCGTTCGTCACTTATCTTAATATTTTAATCTTATTATCTTATCATATCTTATCTTATTATATTTTAATATTTTAATTAAAATATAATAAAATTAGTGCTGGCTGTCGGTCTAAGGCTACTAATTCCTTCAATAATTTCCACTCGTTGCCCTCGTGTCGGCGCGAGCCTCCGTAGCTTCTACCACGCGGCGTTAAAAAATCAAAGATTCAACGGAAAGGTTGAGAAAGGCTGATCCATTATCCAGCCACCCGGTCTTGTCTACGATCGCGAAGAAGATACGTTCACTTGTCGGGCGTACAAAAGGCTTCGGCTTCGGCGGAATTTTCGGCGCGGCGAGTCTCTCCAACGTCTCCAAGTGCTGCTCCCATTCATCGGGCTTTATCACCCTGCGCAACTTCGCCAGGATCCTCTGTCTGCGAAGAAACATTCGTGGCTGCGCAAAGGCGGACAAAACGAATCGAAGTTGTTATCGGGCGCGAGCTCGTTACAGTTTCTGGTGGCGAACAAACGGGACGCGTCGCGTGCGCCGGCACACGAAAATGGTCCGGGACTCACCCTCGAGTTTGTTCGGCGAACATCGGAACACCCTTGGGCTCTACATATTAGCAATTACATTCAGGCCGCTCGTGCCTGCCAGCTATTCGCGAGTTGCGTCGAAAGTTTAACGAACGCGGCCGTTCGCGAGCAGCCAGACGGTATTGCGCGTGGAAAACCGAAACGGAAAATCCTCGGTTTCTCGGAAAAGCCCGGCCGCGAAACAAACGGGTGGCGAGCACCCCGAGGCCGCCGACGAGGGCGCGCGAACGCTCGCCGTTTCGAAGAATCGGACCGTGACCTCGCGAGATCCAAATCCGACTTTACGGGATCGTGTCCGCGAGTGCGAAAACTTCCATCTGGAATCGACAATCCGATTACGCCCGTTGTTTGCCCCGCCGCGTTTCCTCGCGCTTTTCACGATTTTCCGTCGCAGGGCGCCCCTTCCTTACTTTTTCCTCGCTTCGCGCTGCAGCCTGGCGTTGCAGAAGTACCGGTACCTTCTATACCGCGAGTTCTGAACCTTCCACAGGGTCTCCGTGATGTTGCCGCTCGTCTGGTACCGCATGTTCGCCAACAGTATTCTAATTGGCAGACAATCGAAGCGATTCGTTTGGAAGTTTACGAAGCTTTTTACGCGACTAATTATTGAATAGAAAATGTAATTTTTTCGAGAGAATGTAAACGTAGGTTTCAGCGTTGTTTTGCAATATTTTAAAAGTAAAAATCGTAGGAAATAGCGAAGTTATTCGTCGTATCTCGTAGAATTGATTAAATTAGGATTAATCAAATTTTGCTGATTCATAAGCAGACTGCGAATTTTATGCATTTATGAGAAAAATGAGTACCTTGACACCGTAGAGAGATTGAAAACGTTTAATAGTGACGACATGCTACTTTCGACCGATTCAAGTTATTAGACAAAGAATGAAACTTCTAAATAAGTGTTATTTGCAACAGATTTATCTGCTACAGAATTCTGCTACTTGCAACAGATGCGACAGATTTTTGTCTTGCATAAAGATCCGCAGTTTATTCGTAAAATAGAAATTATTTTATTCATTCTAAAAAGCAATAGAATTGCTCTTATTAAGTTTAAATGCTTATTAAAAATTGAATAATTTACATGCCGCAGCTCTAATTCAATACTCAGATATAATTGTCTAAATAACAAAGTTTAAAGAAAAAGTATATATATATAAAGTATAAATAAATTAAATATATACATATATAATAAATAAATAAATAAATATATATATAAAATTAATAGATAATAATAATAAATATAGATAATAGATAGATAATAGATAATAGATATAGATAATAATTAATAAATATATAAAATTAAATAATTATATAAAATATATATATATTTTTTTTTATTATTAAATATATATATAGAAAACCAATAATAATTTGGTTCTCGAGAAACATTTTTAATTCCGTTTTTCCCTAAAATTTCAAGTAAATCGTATGCACAGTTCCGGAGGTTTCGCGACGGCCAGCTTGAAAAACGCAATTTCGCGAGGAACGTAAAAACGGAAGTTTTCAAACAACTTTTCTCCGCCCGATAAAGTGCGATTTTTCAAACTTTACCCTCGGCCGCTAAACGTTCGAATTTCGAAATATCGATTCGCGACGGTTAACATTCGAACGCGCACGAAACTACTTCCGGCAAATCAGAAAATGAGAAATCGATTTTTTTCGAACCGTTAGGGAGACGTCCGTCCCCCTTCGAGGCGGAGAGACCTTTCGCGACGCTTCGACCGATTCGAGCGGAAACAGCGGAGCTTGAATGACCTTTTGTGGGGAAGCGCCAGATCCAGGATACGTCTGGTGGTCTTGGCGGCGAGGGTCTTCGGGTGGATTCGTGGGTACGGCGGCGGGGCGGTTCTGCTCGAAAACCAAAGCGATTTCTATTCGAGATCGGCTCGCCGATATCCCGCGCGCCCACGAAAACCGTAAATTCTCTGGATACTCACTCCGGGTCGTACTTCTTGGTCATGTGCCTCGGCTGAGCCATGACTTTCACGCGTTTCGAAGCGCGCGCTTTCAGCGCCGACCGCCGGATCGCGAACGGGTTTGGCTGATAAAGAAAATTACGGTGTACTTTTCGCACGTTTCCGAGACGGTATACTAGTAAAATCCCCGATTTTCCTTCAGCTTGTAAACAAATATGAACGATTTGGAAAGAGGCGACACGATTATTCGAGGCTCGCGACTCATTTTTGTAGTTGCCGATTGTCAGCAATTATAAAACCGAGGCGCACTTCTTCGTCCGAAATTATTTATTTTCGTTTACACGATGAAGGAAAATTAGGGAGAATTCACGGTACAGTCTCTCTAATTGACGCTCAGATTGTCCACAAAAATGGTCAATTTTGGAAGAGATACGATTGTTCGAGCCTTGTGGCTTTTTATGGTTATCGATTGTCAACAACTATAAAAACGCGCTGCAAGGCTCAAATAATCGTATCTCCTCTTCCCAAATTGTCCATTTTTGTGCGCAATCTGGGTGCGAATTAGGGAGAAATTACTGTACCAGGCCTTCGAATCGCCTTCAAATCGTGGCAAAAGATTAGAAATAAAAAGTTTAAGTCATCATTTTTATTCTAGCATTACTATGTATTTATATTGATGTACGCGAGCATGCTGGTCGCTGTCTTTCTTTGCCGACTGCCCCGAGATCCCATAATAAAAAGCGATCCGAAAATGTAGCAAACTTTAGAGATACAGTAGTGTTTCCCTAACTAACACTCAGATTGTGCACAAAAATGGACAATTTGGGAAGAGGAGATACGATTATTCGAGCCTTGCGGCTCGTTTTTGTAATTCTTGACCATTCGTAACTGTAAAGGCAAACCGCAAGGCTCGAATTATCGTATCTCTTCTCTCCAAATTGTCCACTTTTGTGCGCAATCTGAGCGCGAATTAGGGAGAAATTACTGTACCAGGCCCTCGAATCGCCTTCAAATCGTGGCAAAAGATTAGAAATAAAAAGTTTAAGTCATCATTTTTATTCTAGCATTACTATGTATTTATATTGATGTACGCAAGCATGCTGGTCGCTGTCTTTCTTTGTCGACTGCCCCGAGTGCCATAAAAAACGAGCCGCGAGGCCCGAAGTATCACGACCTGGTATTCTCAGATCTGAGCGTCAATTAGGGGAGACATTACAGTATCGGTATCGCTCACCAGGATGTTCATGTTCGTCCTCTGTATTCGCCTCCAGTTGGGCCGAGCCAGCAGGGCGGTGTACTGTTTGCGCGTCAAATGCGCCATGGCGTATTTGATCCTCCGAGACAATTCGCTGGCCATTTTTCACCGGGGCGCGGCCAGGTTCTCCTGTTCGAGATGCACGGGCTCTAACGCGGCGGATTATCGACAGGCAAACAGCCGCGTTACAGGTTAGCGTGTTTCGTCGGATTCGCGTGTTTAATTAATTCGTCGACGAATCCGATAAATTGCACGTACGTTCGTGTTGTATATACGCGTTCGATGCCTAGAAGGGAGGTGGAATGCTCGAGGAATCGGGTCAATGGAACAATTTACAACGCGAAACTCTCTTCAGCTTCTAACCGTTAATTTGGACGCGGCAATTTCGACGGAGACTGCGAGACTGCTTTTTAAATCGATGCGAAACGAAACAAGAGAAAAATCAAATTTAGTTTGCCCTCTCTCCTTTTCTCCTTCTCTTTTCCTCTCTCTCTCTCTCTCTCTCTTTCTCCCTCTCTCTCTCCCTCTCTCTCTCTCTCTCTCTCTCTCTCTCTCTCTCTTTCTCATGTTCGCTCTCCCAGTGGCTGCATTGTCCTCTCGGTCACACTCACACTTGATCCTGTCAACGACGGACAACGGTACACGCCGGCCTTTCCGAAAACTTGATTTCTGTTCGAATAGCCAGCCGTTCGATTAATTAACTTGTTAAACGGACATAACGAAATACTTCGTCATTTCAGAGGACAACTCCAACGGGCGTGACGATATTTTTCGTCGTGGGAATTTTTAAAAATTCTTCTCAATTGACGCTCAGATTGCGCACAGAAATGGAGAATTTGTAAACATTCTATTGGCTAAAATTCACTAAAATTCACTTGTTTTGTGAAAGATCCTTTCGACGCTTGCCGAGCATCATGGCATTATCCTTTAGGTTTGTAGTCCGATAGAGCAATGCAGTAAAGCCTCCCTAATTGACGCTCAGATTATGCACAGTAATGGACAATTTGGGAAGTGAAGATACGATTATTCGAGTTTTGCGGCTCGTTATTATAGTTACCGATTGTCAACGACTATAAAAACGAGCCAGAAACCTCGTATCTCTCTCCTCTTCCGAAATTGCTCATTTTTGTGCACAATCTGACGGAGAATTTCGGGAGAATTTATTTTAATATGTGGACCGCATTACGCTTTATGCCGTTCTTACCCGCTGAAACCTGGCGCGATGTTAATAATTCGAATTTGCACAGTTTAGTTTCGAACATCGCTACTTTATATGCAATATTGTACAGACCGCGGGGTTTCATGCGAGATAAATAATTTTCTGTACTAATAGTTGGAAACAGGGTTTAGCTGAAACCGTATTTCTTCCGTCAATGATTTCGGTTCATTAACAATAATGTAACAATATTTTCGAATTTTTCTCGTATCTTCGTAGTTTTGCATTTCATCTATCCGCATCTGCCATAAATTCATAAAATCCTCCGTCTAGTAATATACCAAAGACGCCAGGTCACGCCACTGAAAATGGTGTAACAGCTAACAACCGGTTACATAATATTTAACAACGATTCAACCGAGGATCGTTGGAAACATTCGATTCGTACATTTTCTAAATAAATTATGCAATATTTTGCAAAATGGATAACGAGCGAGTGAAAAGCGGTTTTTAAAAAAATACTTCAGTCCCCATTGTGAAATGGGTTGGACAAAAGTTTATTCCCCGGTTAACGCTGCTGAAAACCTGCCGGTAAGCCTCTTAATGTCTCTGAATGAAATTCTCTTTTAAATAACGATTTGAAAACAGCAAAATCCGAATGGAAATGTTCTCTTGCTGAGAATATTTTTGCCGAGATAAATCTGCAGCAGCAGCGAACGCAGAATTTGTTAAAAGTATCGAATAATCATCGTATACAGATACAACCGCGTTATGCTTTTTTTTACGGGAAACTGCGAGGATTTCTAAGAGAGCAAAAACTCGGAGAAGAACTCGGCTCCGAGTGAAATTTTGCCGATGAGACCGATTACGGGATGATGCGACGGATCGAGTATCGGCGCATCGGAGCTACCAGAAATGGAACGAGGCGGTGGCAGATGTAATTTCGTGGCCGCTTCGGACTCGTGGTATTACACAGTCGAAATCTCTCCCGATGAAGATCTCTCGAGAGACATCCCGACTGTCGACGGTCTACGCGTCGACGGTCGACGGGCTTTACCCGTTTTAATCCATTCGTCTGCGAATCCGGACCACTCGCTGGATTTCCTCTTTTTCGTCTCTTACTTCCGCCCCTCTTCCAGCGTGTTCCGGTGTTCGCCACCTTTTTCCTCTTCCTCCCCCGAATACCCGCTGCCAGCAGCAGCCCTCTCTCCTTCTTTCGAGGATTCCCTCCCGTTTCACCGTTGCGATGCCGTACTTTACCGTGGCGCGTCTATGCATCAGCGGCGCCGTCACTGCCGTCAGACCCGCATGGGAAATCTCAAATACGAGATCTGTTTATCCGCCACTCGAAGTCCCACTGGATGTCGATGATAAGATTTTACCGCGACTCTGTCCTCCCCGGATCTCTCGTCAACTGCTTCCTTCATCCTCTGATTGCTACCGTCCGACTATTCTCGGCATTACTACGGTAATGTCTCCCCAACTGACGCTCAGATTGTACACAAAAATGGACAATACGGGAGAAGGAGATACGATTATTCGAGCCGTGCGGCTCGTTTTTATAGTCGTTGACAATTCGTGACCATAAAAACGAACCGCAAGGCTCGAACAATCGTATCTCCTCTTCCCAAATTGTCCATTTTTCTGCGCAATCTAAGCGTCAATAAGGGAGACATTACTGTATATTGTTCATATTTTGCATCATTTGATCCCTCGATATATATTCTTGCCCCACACTGTGAAGAAAGGGTTAATATAATCGGTAAAAACCAATTCGATACGAATCCGCGCGAGACGTGTCTCTTAAGCACGACATTTCTCCCGCGCCGAGAAGTTCGCGACCTCTCTCTTCGCGCAATCTGAGCGCGAATTAGGGATAAATTACTGTACCAGGCCATCGAATCGCCTTCAAATCGTGGCCAAAAATTAGAAATAAAAAATTCAAGTTATCATTTTTATTCTAGCATTACTATGTACGTATATTAATGTACGCAAGCATGCTGATCGCTGTCTTTCTGTGCCGACTGCCCCAAGTTCCCATAAAAAACGAGCCGTGAGGCCCGAAGAATCGCGACTTGGTATTCTCAGATCTGCCGGTTTCAATATCGATCTCCGAACATCGATATTGAATAATCGTATCTCTTCTCTCCAAATTGTCCATTTTTGTGCGCAATCTGAGCGCGCCAATTAGGGAGAAATTACTGTACGAGGTCTTCGAATCGCCTTCAAATCGTGGCAAAAAATTAGAAATAAAAAGTTTGAGTTATCATTTTTATTCTAGCATTACTATGTATTTATATTAATGTACGCGAGCATGCTGGTCGCTGTCTTTCTTTGCCAACTGCCTCGAGTTCCATAAAAAACGAGCCGCGAGGCCCGAAGAATCGCGACTTGGTGTTCTCAAATCTGCCGATTTCAATATCGATCTCCGAACATCGATATTGAATAATCGTATCTCTTCTCTCCAAATTATCCGTTTTTGTGAACAATCTGAGCGTCAATTAGAGAGACATTACTGTACTACTTCGCTACTATTTCACCAACTCCGTGAAAAAAACGTTAACAGCGTACCGACGCGCTCCTGTCGCGTGCCTTTTTCGTTTTATTAATCGACGATCGGGATTGAATTCTTCGGGCTGCTGGGATGTCCTGAGACACGAGCGATCAGACCTTTCTGTTGCGTGCTGACGACGTTTTCAATAAAAAGGAACGTCGCTTTCTTTGTCCCGAGTCTACGGGCTGAAGGCTTCTCCAAATCCCTTTATTCTGTCAATGTACATAAACTTGTACAAGAAATTGAATAAAGGTCTGTACCGATTTCCGCGGTTGCAAAAATGCATAAATTGAACGTAGGATCAAAGTGAATTGTTTCAATTGTTACAGCATTGCCCAGTCGTGCAACGCTAATAACTAGACATCGCACGAAGAATTAGTTAATTAATTATCTAGAACTTGAAGCTGCCCGAAACCACAACGCGTAGTCACCAGAGCTCCATTTCAGATTATTAAACTATAAAAATACACGTTTTATTTCTGTAAATTCCACCATTAATCTTCAAACATGAAACACTATCGTACAAAATTTTCAAATTTGCCGCGCTTCGTTCAAGGGTCACTACAGAGCCAATCGACGTAGCGACAAAACGCCCAAACTGTTTGCCAAATTTATCGGCCGGGTTGGTATTTCTCCCGGCTCAGATGGCGTCATCATATTGCTAGACACATTACCAACACATGATTTTGACAAACAGCACAGACATAGATTTGTGATTCGTACGTCGGACATTGCATTTTATGGGCTTTTCTGACTCAGCTTTGGAGGGCTCGATTTCTTTCGAGCTACTCGATTCTTTCTAGCCCTCGGTTTTACCGAGCATTCCGCTCGGCTTGAAAACCGAGTCCCAGACGAGTCTGGATTGCGAGCCGCTCGAACATTCAAGTATTGCGATAGCCTTAGTCTAGCCTTATTCTCCTTACCATTTCGTGCGGCGATCAGCATTATCGATAGTTTATGAAAAATAGTCACGTTAGCAAGAAGCGAATATCCTTTATAGAGGGTATCCTAAAATTACCGTATTTCCGAGAAATAAGGGCTTCCTGAGGTCATTTGAAGCAGCTTTTTCCTTAGCGAAAATGCGATCCGTGGCTTTGTTTACGAGTTATTAACGAAAAACAGTGACCAATGAGAGGCGCGGGCGCGAAGTTCGAGAGCTCGCAGCACGTGACAGCCAATTATAGTAAAGATTAACAATAAGAAATGCCGTCAGACTCACGCAAAAGATATTATCGTTTCAATAATTCCGTGTCCAAACAGAATACAACGAACGATTCGCAAAGCTAATTTAATAATAAATCGCGTCAAAGAACATGAGGGATATGTATATTTAAGAATTGTGAAGAATATGATTAATAGTGAATTTACCCATTTCATTGAGAATGCATTTGCTGCTTGTAAATGTCGATCACAATTCACGATGTCAATATAACCTCGCTCAATGTTCAGGAGATTTTAGGGCAATGGCCTTACCCCGAGGAAGGGACGCGGTCGGAGGGAATACGGTAATTTTTGGGACTCCCTGTATATCATTTCTACTATGAGTGCTGAAGTTCCAATAGTTCCAGAAGGTTCAGAAGTTCCAAATGGTCCAGAAGGGTCCATTTTTACCATGAGGGATCATGCACATTCCAAGAAAAATCAATTGCACTTTTGGTAATAGTGGCGCCACTTGTGGCGAAATTTGGTAGTTATGTTCGGGGTTCATACAGCGCCAATTTTATAGTGGTAAAAGGCTCTAATTTTTAACGAAATTACCAACAGCCACTTAATATTTGTAGTAGCTTGATCTTTGGTTCGCTTAAGAAATAACTTACATCTATCTTTAGGTTTATATTAGCAACCCATCAATTTTTTAATTCACTCTTTTTCACATAACGAATAATCCCATTATACCGTGGTTCATGCTTCGTAAAAAAGTCTACAGTTACCTTTTGGGCTTTCTGTTATACCCTATGATTCTTCAGTGTTTGTAATAATTTATCCTTTTTCCTTAGACTCCTACAATTAAATTTCTCGTTAGTCTTCTTTTTTTAAAATCATGTTACTGTTCTTGATTCGTAATACTTACCATATTACAACACACTTTTATCAATCTGTTTTTCTAAATTTTCCTCAAAATCTTTCCACATTTTCTTCTTATATAGCGTTCCAAATCTGTGCAAGAAATTGTAACTTGCTCGTTACATTCAGTTGCTGTTTTTTTCTAATCGATCCGCAACTTCATTTCCTTCAATGCCCCTATATGCAAACGAATAAATTCTATTTTAGTATTATTATATATATTTATTATTATATATTATTATTATTTATATTATATATTATATATTATTTAGTACATTTTTCTTTACACCGTCCCCATTCCTTCCTACACGAACATTCTGCCTTATCGGACCTGTTTCGAGCTTCCGGCTGGAACGTGCTGCCATCTGACCGGGGGAATTTATTTTTGATGTTGTCAGCGGGCAGGCGCTGGACCGCATTTGGTGGCTGCGTGCGGGAGGAAGAGCGAAAGACAGAGTAGGACCGCGATTCAAACTCGAAATCTAACGAGGGACTCAGAGCCACGCGAGTGGCCGCGCGACACGGCACGGGTGTTTGAAAACTGCCGTTATTAGTGGACCGTGCGCCATGTGTACTGGGAAAAGTGCAAGCTTTTCGTGTCTTTGTGCTCTATTATTTCTCGCCGGACTTACCCTGCCGTCTGGTAAGTGAACGATTAAAAATTCACTCGTTTCTCATCGTTATCGAAAGCTGTCATCGCGAAAGATCGTCGTAGATCATTGACAAGCAGCCACTGTGTTTCGTTGTCCGCTGTCCATCGACCATTTTTGTTTTGCTCAAACCTAGAATTACTAGACGGTTCGACGTGTTTTGTTTTGATATCTTCCCGTCGACAATCGTCGGAATTACGAAAATGTTTCTACGAATGGTACATATTAAAATGTTTCGTCGCACGAAATCTGAATTGCTTTAATGTTGTTATTGTTGGTAAAGTACGTTTGCCAGTCGTGTTTATAGCGTTCGGTAGGTTGGAGTTCGATGGTATCCGTCGAAAACACGACTCAGAGAATTTAGTGCTTTGGATTAATTGATATGTTCTCTGGTGAAGTACGCGTTGAAGTGCGATTCGTTGGAGGCGAAGACTGTTTCACGTGGAAAAATTTTCTGTTTTTTTTTGCTGTTTTTTTCTAATCGATCTGCAACTTCATTTCCTTCAATTTTCTGTTTCATTTCTGTGAGTTGATTGCCGGCAAATATTACTAAAAATCTTTAAGTAGTGTTGGATGGAAAATCGGGGTAGCTAAAAAGAATCAACGGCCTACGCGGATTTGTAGGTTTATGATTATTTAAAAAATAACCTTACATTCCTCGTGGTCCCACTTATTTGTTTAATGCAAGTAATATGTGGTATATTTAATAAGCCCGTGTTGCATTTTACAATTTTATTTATGAGAAGCGACGACAGTCAGATTGTGAAATAATTCTGTATTTTAATGTGTAATTCTGTAATTCTGTAACTCTGTAATTCTGTAATTCTGTAACTCTGTAATTCAGTAATTCTGTATTTATGTCAATCTAACGTCCATTTAGTATATTTTTTTGTAAAGAGGCGCTTTTTTCTGCTTCTTTTTCCTCGTATTCATCTCAGTAACAATATTGTAAGAGAAACAAGAAAAATTGCTAAATTTGTGTAGATTAAAAAACGTGCGTACTCGTTGAGTGAATTTTAAAAGAGCACGTATTTATAACATTTTTATTTGTTTCGCACTTTATTATATATTTTCGTTCAATTTTCAACGAAGAGGGTAAAAGTAAATGAAAAAGTGAACATTTAAGAAAAGTAGGAACAGCTTTAGTTCATGTGCAATTAGACAGTGGATATTTATGCAAAATAAATGTTTCCTAGAGCAATTGGCAGAGACCGGAGCCAAGTCCACATTTCATTCTTTCTTTAATTATTTTAACCGGTTGAAACGAGCGTATTGTATCGGACGATCGTTGCCACTTTTTCACTGCTCTAAATTCTGTCTGCTCGAATTGTCGTAAATCAAATCCGCGATCCATTTGTAACCCATACATATGCTTTATACCAGTTATAAAATAACTGAACATTGAATAGTTGAGCAGCAACCTGTTTCCTCGGAAACAACGCTAAACGAAAAATACATTATGAACGCAATCAATTGGTAACGAAATTTTCAACGAAGGTTACCCCAAAAAGCAAAAGCAGTTAATTAAGCGATTTCATTTGTTCCACGGCTCTTTTGAAGCCGCGCTTACAGTTTCGATCAATCCACCGTTCTAAGTGTCGTCCAATTTTATCTTTGAAACCAAGAAGCACCCCGAATTCTCATTGTTCATAAGAAATCTCTCGTATAACCGAACGCCATTTAATAGGTGCTAGGAATTCTCTGAATTTCCCGTTTTTATTATCGTGCTAGACATACATGGATACTCGAAGCCACTTCGAATATTAATCAACGAAATCTCGTGTGTTATCGGTTTCAGACCAACTCGCATTTAATTTCCTCGTTTCGATAACATTTCTATTTTCAAATAGTGGAATCAGGACTACGACTTCTATCGAACAAATTACATTTTTTAATACACGGGACACATGGTGTCTCTTAATCCTTTGCACTCGAAGCCATTTTACCTATGAATCTAAAATAATTTCTCTGACTTATAGTATTATTCTATTATAGTATTAGTATATTATAGTATATTATAGTATTATATTCTATTTTATAGTATTATTCTATTTATTATTATTCTATTTATTATTATTGTTATATATATATTATATTATTATTATATTATAGTATTATTCTATTTTATGCATTTTCTATTTTATACGACAAAGTGCATTTTATGCGTATGAAATTGAGTCTTGTGAATCGTACAACAGTTACAACGGTTAACAATTTTTGAAATCTAAACTTTGATAATATGAAAATTATCTTGGAACGTGGTATATGAATTTCAGCGGTGCCTCGGATTCACCACTCGAGTGCAAAGGGTTCAACTATTTTATACTCTATTTTTCAGAACTGTACTTACACTTTTTCAGCTTCGTTTATTTGTAATAATTTCATCGATACACTTCAACGTTAATAACTATGATTTAATAATTGATGTTGCTTGTACGAATGATTTCAATGCGAGTTTCATTAATTGTGATCATTTAATTAATATCGATTTTCATTTTCGTTGAAAGATTATTATCTTTCTCGTTGTTAATACCTGTTATTGCTGCGGATTGTCAAGGGAATAAGTGAAGCGTATTTCGGTGTTCTTTATTATTCGTCTCGTTCGTTCGAGGGTTGACGTTCGACTGACGGAAAAATCAGGCCCCGTTGCGAGCCTCATCGTTCGACCGTTCCAGGACGTCATTTGAAACCATTTTCCTCGAACGGTCGTCGTTGACAGGATTCAGGGCATCGCTGGCGACAGAGGGTCTGCCTGCAGTTTAGGTTCCCACATCTCTGTTTACATTATGCGACGCCGCGCCCGTCGCTCTGGTCACCACGCTGTCATTATCATCATTAATATCATTATCGTCATTAAATACCATGATCATTATTTTCTAGCAATGCGGACACATACGCGCGTTGTTTAGTACTGCCACACACGCGTAACTATCACTGAACGATGATTATCGTACGATGATATTGTTTACAGTAGAGACGCTGTCGATAAATATTTAATTTCTGTGCATTGTTTAGGTCGATTCGACCGGAATCAGATCAACATTCTTTTAGCATTCTTGTGCATTGCGTATGTGTATTAATTAATCGCTATTAATGCTATAACAATACGCGGTGTTACATAAAAAGTTTTGCATCAGCGGTGCGCGTAATTTAAAAATTAACCCTTTGCACTCGAAGACATTTTAACGTGAAAACTCTAGACATTTTTTCCAACGTAAAAAGATTTCTTTTCTTTCTCAATTTTTATTCGCTTTTACATATAGAATTGAACGCTTACTCATCCCTCATTAGAACTTTTTAGCAGTTTATTGAATAAAAACAGGTTTGGTAATATAAAAATTGCTTGAAATTACAGTATGGTAAATTTTGTCGGCGCATCAGAGTCGCCATTCGAGTGCAAAGGGTTAACCCGAGTGTGTGACTCCGAGGCACCACTAAAAAATGTTTGTATCGCATTCCGAAATAATTCTTACATCAAGAAAATTTAGATTTGAAAAATTGTCCAAAGTATAATTGTTGTGTAAGTCACGAGACTCGATTTCACACGCATAAAATGCGCTCTGTCATATAAAATAGAGACAGCGCAGGCCAGAAAAATCATGTTAGATTTACAGTTAAAATTGCAGGCTTCGAGTGCAAAGGGTTAACTTAGTATCAATTCTCGCATGACGATTGATAGAATCCGATCGAAAAACGATTCGTTGTCATTCTTCGTTATGAGGCTGTTATTCGAATTGAAATTTCTGCCACGACTTCAAACATGTTATATAATGTTAATTAAATCATCGACGATCAGCCTCGTGTTTACTTATTCGTGCAACGTTATAAATTTCGTACGAGGATTAAAGATTAAGGACGAGAAATTTCCATAATAATAATAACAATCGATCAACGTACGATGTACACCTTTCCATGAGCAAACGTTATAGTAATTTAATTAACGTCGTCGGTCGTAGATGTCGTCATCATAGTTACGCGACGTTAATCCTCTTTCGCCGATTACGACGTCATAATAATTCCACGGCATGTATAATAATAGTAAGAATAATAATGTATAATAATAATATGTATAATAATAGTAGAATAATAATTCTACGCGAGACTTATGGATTCGGTGCGATTCTTTCCACAATGTTGAATAAATTCCGTTTTTCCGTTACTTTCCCAACATTTTACTTGACAACAACAAGTTTATTTAAAAGTAAAACTATATTTTACTTTTAATGCACGTCGCATGATAAAAGTATGATATTCACTTGATACAACCGTTTTGTCTACGTTACAGTCGCGTTACGGAAAAGTATTTTTCTCCACGTTTAATGAATTAATTTTTACTGTAACTAGTAACAAAAACGAAACTTCTGCGAGAATAGGCGAGATAAAATTATTAGAGAAAAGGAACATTTGTTTTCAACTTTGGAAAAGTCGAGCTGGATAATTCGATCCGAATACAGTTCGACGTTAGACGCAATGCTTTCTGTCGCAGCGTTGCCACGGTGTAACACGTAATTAGGCTGTGCCGTGTTAAACGTCAATTTAGTGCCATTTCTTATCGTGACCGTTCCTTTTGCAATACCTTCTTGATTATGGTGTTTTGCACGATGCAGATTGTTGTAAAGATTTCTTACGATATCTTTTCGTTGCACATTATTTCAAGCTTTATACATATATATCGTTGTTACGAACATTACATCGTTGTTTAATGCAAATCGATGTAAATGTTTCTCGAAACGAAGTCATTCGGTGGCAAATTATTTTGCGGATTATTGCTCTTGTCACATTCGAGATTAACAGACAACAAAATAATTCATTATTTGAAATCGCTATATACATATATATACTGTTACAATTTTCAAGCAACAAGCATTGAAAAGCAACGAACAATAATAATTACTTCAAACTGTTGCTTCTTATATTCGTTTCGAAGCGATGTCAAAAGCAAATTCAAATAAAATTTGCCCCGGCCCGATTGCGACGAATCTAGGACCGCGAA